ACAGTGACCTCGCTGTGAAGACGGTTTTCAATTCTTTCCAATATACGGGCCCCTGCCTTCCTATGAAGCAGTTGTACCATGAAACACTAATAATAACAGGCGGACAATAGGCGTAGAAAGCAAAACCGGGTGGTTTCGTTAAATCAGCGGAGTGAAAGAAATTCTCAAGTTGGATGGGTGCCCGACTGCAGAAAGATTATAATAACCATTTGTCTATAGATACTACAAATACGATATATGTATATATATAGTGACAGTGGGACTTTATGTTGTTATGCCTGGAGTTGCGAGTTACCGAGGTTCTGGCCCGATGCAGGAGTAGGTACGGGATGGTTTTTAGTCAGTAAGAGTCTGACACTCCCTCTCGACTGAACCAAGGCAGAAAGTCATTGGATGATTTTCCCCTCTCAAAAAAGGGATTTGCGTTAACATGACTGAAAGGTTTGTGCAAACAATCACTTTGCCCAATCCGTCAAAATCTTTAACTGATTTAAAATCTTATTATTTACAAAATAATGTTAAAATTTCAAAACTCAAGTCTAAGACATCTACTTACTCGTCTCTGCAACGAATGCAGTCGTAAAATATTTCTGTAATATTTTAAATTTTATTACCAACACTCATACGACTATAATATAATATCCACTTTACTAAATCGAATGTCTTTTGATCTTTATTTTGTTATAGGCTATCGTTGAAGTATTACTTGATTTACAGACATATTTTAAGGTTTTATTTTTTCGATTTTCAGTTGTAGTCTACAACTTTTTAAGATTTCATACTGACCTCAAAAACTACATTTCATAACGACTCTTAACTATTTTATCTTAAGGTTCAATATTTGCACACGATTTATAATTCAACATTTATATATTTTTATCCGTTTTATTATTTTATAACTATGTACCCTAATACAAAAACTCACAATTACTCCACAACCGTACGCTATACATAAACGATGAGCAAGGATAAATTGAAAAGACAACAAAATCAAAACTCGAGAGAAGAGCTGCATGTATAAATCATCGAACTAATCTCCTAAATCGCAAACGATTGCCACAATCCCACGTATAAACAAGGCAAATAGATCAAACACTAACAAACTTAGCTGGGGGATATAAAACCAGTATTATACGGATTTATACGCGGCTAACTATCACACACTGGCATAATACGGCCCGGCCGGCCCGGCCACTCTAATGGCCTTCCATTACGATGCTTGCCACCTGTGCTAATGGGTCAGAAATATTTAATTGATGAGAGCTGTACAGATTTCCCGATTCACATTTTTCATCCATTCCGTAGTGTTTCGTGCCCGCTTTGTGGGCAGCCTCATTACTGTTGAATATATTTTGCTCTTTCTACAAGAGATGTTTAAAGTGAATTGCTTTCATTTCTCATCTGCCTTGTTATGCTTGCGTTGGCTAATTAGTTAGCGTTTGTTATGTTTTAGATGTGAGTGAGTGGGTACTCGGTGTTATTTTTATATAAATTGCGGTAGTGTCTGTCGTTTGGAAGCGTTTAAACTTCAGTGCTTTCTTTTGCACTTCTATACGTGTTCCAGGTCGTGGAGAACCTAACGCGCCTCAAAGTGCAGGAGTTGGAACGGGGTGGTTTTTAGTCAGTAAGAGTCTGACATTCCCTCGCGCCTCACCCAGGCGGGAGAAGCCATTATCGAATGGCTTCTCCCGCCTATGGTAGGGGGAAAATCATCGGATTTTCCCCCCTTAAAAAAAACGTGTTCCAGACTTCAGAGTTAATGTTTGTTTGAGACTGCAGCGTCAGGGTTGGTGCTGTTGGTAGAACATCCGCTGCTGCGTAAGGTATCGTGATGGTTTCAATTTCTGCGTCCCTTCTATATTCTGACTAAATACTTAAATACTCATAACATAGATAGTGAAAAGTGGGTGTTAGATTATACAGTGGTATAATGTGCACCTCTGCCTACCCCTTCGGGGATAAAAGGCGTGATGTTATGTTATGTTGTTATACTTAAATTCTTAGCTATATAATAAACTATGCAAAGTCCACTGTCAACATAAAGTTGTAAAGACCAACAATCCCATCGAAATTGAATGAGAGCCAATGACAAATGAGTTTATTAGGGTAGGTGTTTCATTAGTGGATAAATATAAACCAAACTGAAATGTAATAAATAGGTACCAATCAAAATTTTATAATCGGTAATTACGCGTATCTAATAACCGTAATTGAAATTTTATCCTCGAAACATTTCATTAAAATTAAAGCTAATTGGTAAATTGTTCACATGCAATAAAACCAATGTGTGTACTTACCTAACAGGATTGCGGTCGGATATCAAATCCAGTATTTACGAAAACAATGAGCTAAAACAAATTCTCTCTGGCAATGTGTTTGTATTATCTGCATTTGAAATCAGAATCTGTAGATGTATCCGAACGCATTCATTTGCTCAACGAACAATATTGTGTTCAACGTTCGATCTATTCTAGCTCAAACATTGCAATACGTATAGGTGGCATCAAATTATACAACCCTCGTAATACCATTATTGAAGTTTCGGACATTTTGATTGAATGAATATTAGGCATTTAGATTTATACCGATTTGGTACTGCCTACCATCAGAAAACAGATAAGGAACTAAAGTCCGAAAATGATACCTGAGCGAGCAGGTAGGACCAGGTTAGTACCCAGTTGTTTGACTATTAAGATTTACCGCCTTAATTTAAAAACAAACTAGCTTCTGACAGCTGCTTTGCACACGTTCCCAAAGGATAAAAAGCCTATGTGTTATTTCAAACCATAATCTCGTCGCGGAGAACCTAACGGGCTACCGGGGCTCCGGCTCGACGTGCATGAGAAGGAACGGGGTGGTTTTTAGTCAGTAAGAGTCTGATACTCCCTCCTGCCTCACCAAGGCGGGAGCAGTCATTCCATAATTTTGCCCGCTTAATAAAAAAAAAGACCAAAATCTAACCCTGTTCCAAATTTCATACCAGTCCCTTCAGCCGTATTGACGTGAAGGAGAAATAAAAAAAAACTTTTGCATTTTATAATAATAGTAGAACTCAAAAAGTCAAATAACAAAAAGCATTCTATTGTCACGGATTTCGCGTACCTATTATTAGCGGTTAATTATCATCGACCGAGACGCCATTGCCACAATAATTGTGGTGTGTTCCCGCATTGTATTTGTGCAGTGGCGGGAAATCATTGGCGGCCATTGCGCCTTAATTGCGCAGAAGTATTTAATGACCTCTGTTTCTGATACAATTAATGGACAACGATGTAGGATGGACGATTTTTTGTCTGTTATTTAGCAGATTGAGTAGTAGATATCAACAGACTAGGTAGACCAAAATAAAAGTAAAATGCCTCGTCCACTGGCACTCAATTTGCTAATCCGCTGACATACATCAGTAACGCTAGACTGCGAAGCGACGAAATCTATGGAAAATCTGTGACGTCCCCAGAAGAACATTTCTACTTACCTATTGAAGGAAAATACAATAATGAAGCGGAGTACGGAGGAAACTGACTGCTCTGCGAAATTAGACTAGGTAGTAGGTACTTCCTTAAATGTGGGGCCTAGTAAGGCTAGCCGACACCAGTGCGATAAGTACGGTAGAATGTATTTTCCGAGTAGCCACATGTAAAACGGAACACCTAGGTAGTTTTTAGTCAATAAGAGTCTGATAACCTCCTTCGGCATTCGAAGAGGTTAACATGAGGATTTCCATGGGTCAAAAAAGAGCGGGCGAAGGACTTAACGTGTTGCCGGGGCTCAGGCTCGAAGTGCAGGAGTAGGAACGGGGTGGTTTTTAGTCAGTAAGAGTCCGAGAGGCGAAGAGGGCGAGAGGAGTCATTGAATAATTCTCCCCACTCAAAATAACAATTTAAACGAGAAGGTGGGTTAGCTTCTGACCACTGGTAGGTACTTACTATTTTAGATCTTTAACAAAAATTACAATATGCGTTTTAAATAGATTCAATGCTGTTACCCACTAAATTGGTAGGTAAGTGGGTTCCTAGTCGTTTTGAATTTATATGAGATACCTAATTCTAATGAGCCGTGCACTAAAGCTATGCTTCATTGCTCCCTAAAGCTCCATTTTGTGCATTATTCTAGCGAACAACCGAAATAACTTCTTCAGGATAAACTAAAGAGGATTAATTAACACCAAAGTATCTATGTAAGCTCTAAATGGGTTAGGTACTTATTTTGCTGTTATAATATTGCAATCGAATTTTTATAAAAATGATACCTACAATAAAAATTTAATTCTAGTTTAAAAAAAACCATAACAACCAGTTGGTACTTAAAGCTTGAACATATTGTTACAACCGAATTACTTACCGAGTAAGCTCTACCAACCATGTTATCAAGATCCGCTAAAAATATATGACTCCTCTGGAGATTCAGGTGTTCATGGCTGGCACTAATCTTTATAATCTACTTATTTGTTGCCTTAAACATTCAACGTCAGTTTTATCGAAACTTAGTTAATCAGCTGTTTGATATAGAAAATGGTCAAGACTAAAATAAAATACTACTTTTAACATCCTTGCTCAATCATCTAATATTCTTCCTCTGTTGTTCACAAAACGTTACATAAACAATTATTTTATTCAATACAATGCGACCGTTTAAAATAACGCGCATATTTTACCGTCCGCAAATTTTACAGAAAACAGTAGTAAGTAGTCCGCAGTAATTTAATAAATTATCGGAAATTAATTAATGTCTGTATTTCATTATAATAGACAACAACTTCAATCCATCTTGTGTTTTCTAAACGTTTATGACTAATCGATCGATTCCGTTCTATTGGCAGCTGTCATTTGTGGTGAACTGTCAAAGTGTCAAAAACCAACTGAGCGGTGACTACTTTATTTACGTGAATGAGATTTTTCGTTTTAATTTCCTTTTACAGTTTGATTTATAGTGTTAATTTGTGAATTGTATATTTTTGTGGTGTAATTATAGAGTAAGGTAATCGTAAGAAAAATATAACAATGTCTCATCAAACGGGAATTCAAGGTAGGTGTGATACATTACAGTTATCTTTCGTCCAAAATAAACCATGACTTAGCTAATAACAGCGATAAAACATCTCTTTCTTCTCATTCGTATACCAATACAGTTATTACGAAATGTTATGAAGTATATTTTTAGAAATTACTGTTATTCTTGGCTTGCGAACAGATCACCCACGCCGAAATTCTAAATTAATTTTAATAAGGAAGTACTAATACCTACACACACAGCATTCATAATATCCGGAACATGAAAACCGTTATTGTTATGAAACAACAATAGGAAAACAATTGCTATAGTTTGAATTCCTAGGTAAATGAACTCCATGGATTGTTATAGATGTATGAATAATACCTAACAATCCTATAGCTCTGATATTGTCTTAACTACAAGACTTATTAATGAAAGTAGTATTAAATTTATTATGGCACAACAGCCGGCATTTGCCACATAAGCCATAATATGTAGCTCTAAAAATTCCATAGTCATCATAGACGAAGCTGAGTCAACTCTCTGAAAATATACATCCAACTCATTTACACTCTAGTAAGACATATGCTTAACTCGTCGAGTACCGTATTTATAGACACAATTAAAGAACAATAGGTTGCGGTCACCGGTGACCGCTTGGTGTTTGACAGTTTAAACATATGTATTACTAGCTACTTTCGCGCGGTTCCACCAGTTGCTCGGCTCCTATTGACCATAGTGTGTTGTTTTATAGCCTATAACCTTCCTCAATAAATGTACTATCCATCACAATAAAATTATTCAAATCTGACCAGTAGTTCTGGAGATTAGCACGTTCTAACAAACAAACTATTTCGCTACATATAATGGTATATATGATTATGATGTTACACTGCCTCACTGGCTGAGTGCTACAAGTGCCACACAAGTGGTCGGGTTCAAAGCCAGAGATCGGCAAAGTATTACTGGGTCTTAAAAAAAATCCTTAGTAGACTATCCTTAGTAAATTCTTAGTAGACTAGCTCATACACTCACACAGGAGATATTAAGTGCACAAACACAGGTGCACTCTCTGTTCTCTCACTCTGAACCCAATGGGATGGCAAATCAATACAACCAGATAGGGTTCAGGCAGCAAGACCAACGGCTTTACCTACTTTCTAAGGCAAAGGAGTGGAAACACTGAAGAACTTCCCAAGTCTAAGCTAATAATAGTCATTCACTCTGAAAATGCCACTATCACTCTTTGCCTTATGTGGAAATCGAACCCACAATTGCCCAGCAATTGGCCACTTAGCCTCTGCTCCATCCATACAATTTATCTAATAATGCATCATTGATTGCATAGATACTCCATGTAATATTGGTACTAATTATTTCTATTACTCTTGAACTGTAGTATGCCATTCAAAGATATAAATCTTGATGCAACATGATAGCTACTTCAATAGCATTATAAACGTTGCAGAAGTTGGTCATACAGTGATAATAATTATTTAATTTTATACTATGTTTATTTCAGCCAATGCGGAGTTAAAGAAATATTTTGGAAAATGCAGAGATGGAAAAATTCGAGTTATGAAAATTAGCATAGAAAATGGTAATAACAAACTATAATTTTATTATTATTATTATTCTAACCCTTTGATTGACATGGTAAAGTGCAGATTAAATTCAGATTTTTATTCTGTGTAACATTACTTGTTTTTAATTTAATTGTCTGTCTATTGTTAACATTATTTACACTGTTTTTATTGTAATATAAAGAATAGGGAATAACGAATTAAAATAAATTAAAAAGAAAATTATTTAGTGTCATAAAAGTTTGTCTATCTGTCTAGAAATAACACTGCAAAATAATTAACAACTTTAATTAAGTAAAATTATATATCTATAATTCCAGAACAGCTGGTTTTGTCCAAGTACTATCCAGTAAAGCACTCGTGGGAGCAAGACTTTGACAAATATGTACCTTCGTTGATTGTTGAAGACTTGCCGTGTTACATATTGTATAGGTGAGTAACTCTATTATTATTTTAGTTAGAAATTAGAGTTCTGTTTGTAATACTTTACATTAAAATTAGGTATACAATTTAGTTAGCGTAAAATAATCAATTGTGATAAATAAGCTTACCAAACATAATTTGTACACCTTAACCTGATGAAAATTGTTAAAAATCATACCGTAAATTTGTTCATACAAAAGTAGTCTCTAAATATCGGATATAAGGTCTATAATGTAGTTAGTGGAGAGCAGTCACCGGTAACCACTTGGGGATATATGGGTTCACTTTTAAACGATGGCTAAATTCTTTCTTATGACCCTAACTTATTAATACATAGATTATAACTGAGTATTAAATCTATTTTCCAGGTTTGATTCAACCAACTCGGTGGGACATGAATGGTTACTGCTGAGCTGGTCCCCGGACAGCGCCCCAGTCAGACACAAGATGTTGTACGCCTCCACGAAAGCAACTCTCAAGCAGGAATTTGGATCAGCACATATTAAGGATGAAATGCATGCTACTGTGAAGGTATTAAATTTCATCTAGTTTTAAACTAACTTATGGTAGATGAGAGATAGAATTTTTATATCTTACTAGCTTTTACCCGCGGCTTCGCTCGCGTCACAAAAGGAAAAATAGCCTATGTGACATATACCAATACATACAGAACCCATCTATACCAATACTTTTGTTTTCCCTCGGGAACATCAAATTTTTTCGGAATAAAAAGTACCCTATTATTTAATCCAGACTACTAACTTTACGTCTGCAAAAATTCAATGCAATCAGTTTAGTAGTTACGGCGTGAAGTCGGAACAAACAAACAAACTCACTTTCCGATTTATAATATAAGTAAGGATGTATGAATTTGGTGTGTTCATCCAAAATTTATCAAAATACACATGTTTGTTCTCATTATTCTTATTGAATCTTTACTTTTCATACATATTTCGCGTATATGATGCAGAAACCAGTATAAACTACTCTAGGAAATAATAATATTGAAAATCTGTTATAGAAACTCATCAGATTGAATTATGTATGTGTTCAAGTGTATACTTCTACTTATTGTCGTTGGTTACATAGGAATCTGAATGACCATTTTATCTTATCTGTGAATTATAATAACAATGGAACTGTAAACAAATGTATTTCTTGAAACCATTATCAATATTGGTTTTAAAACCATGAGTAATACAGAGATAATAAACAAAATACTGAATTGAATATTCTGTGTTAGCTGTGTTATCTTCCATGCCTTTAATGTGAGAAGTAAGTCCACATAAGAACCATAATAAACGTTGTGTTTCGTCGTGTGAGTGAGGTTACCAGAGACTCAACTCACACCCACATTCCCCAATCCCTTAATCCCCGACATTCCTCAAATTTAACCCCCAAAAGCGGGGTAACGCACTTGTAATGCCTCTGGTGTTCCAGGTGTCCATGTGCGACCCCGATTGCTTATCATCAGGTTATCCGTGTGCTCGTTAACCACGTTACCATCATAAGTGGCCTGGGGACTTAGTGAGGCCATCGAAAATTTCCAATTAAATAATCAACATTTTAAGATCATAAGTAATAGTTAAGTCAAAATAATCAAATGTATGTATCTATAAAGTTTTATAACATTATGGTTACAGGATGAAGTAAGTCTGAAGGGATACAAGGCTCATTTGACTGGTGTCAGTGCGCCAGCCCCGTTGACCGACAGGGAGGAGGCGTTGAAGGAACTCCAGGAGAATGAACACACACCACAATATGGCACCGATGCTAGGTATAAACATTTTATTGTTTATTGTTATTAACTGTTGCAACATCCCCAAGCTAAAATCTTTGGAAACGATTTTTCTATAACATAACATCACGCCTTTTATCCCCGAAAGGGTAGGCACTTTTCATTATTTATGTTATGAGTCCCATGTAATAGGGGGTGAGCCTATTGCCATATACCGGGCACATTTCCAGACTCCATGCTACTACTGATATTTTTTTTAAACTCAGTAATACTTTGCCCGACTAGGGAATCGAACACGAGACCCCTTGCGCACTTTTCTATAACACTTCAGTTAAAATTAAATTAAATTTTATTTATTTGCATACACAAGTTACATTACATACAGACATGGAAGCAAGCAGTGTACACATAAACACAAACCGAGGTAACCGTGGGCTCCGAACTAGGCACAGCCTGTATGTTAGTGGCCCAGAATTTAAGGTTTAGGCTATGTAGTTCGCGCATAATGGTTGTTTTGTGACACAGCGCAAATATGTTAACAGTTTAAGTAAGAATAAAAATAATAAACAGTTTTCAGTTGAACTGAATTTACACTTCTAGAGACACTGTATAGATTTTGTCAGTAAATTAAACATAGCTTTACCTTCAAGTAGGTTCTATTTTAATAAGAAAACTTACAGTTCACCAAAATAGACACAAAGTAAAAAAGACAATTATTGTTATTCTGGTTTTTATTATTTTTATTCGATACGACCTTCAAACCTTCACGAAAAGAGCGTATTCCTTTAAAAGGCCCGCAACGCACCTGTGACTCCTCTGGTGTTGCGAGTGTCCATGGGCGGCGCTGATCGCTTACCATCAGGTGATCCGTCTTGTTTGCCTCCTATTCCATAAAAAAAATCTGGTTATTATAATTTCAGGCAGTCGACCATGGGTGGAGTATCGTTCCCTATAACCGAAGATGCCAAACAAGGAATAAATGATCTCAAACGAGGTTCCTATAACTACTTGCAATTTAAGATAGGTAAGTGCATAATCAGTAATTGGTTTAAAGTTTGTGTTTTAATACTAAGACTACCTAACTTCACCCAATAACAGAATCATAGTTTTGCTCGAAAGTAATTAGCAATTCTAAACTGTTTTCATAAGTATCCTCGCGATATTTTTCTTTACCAAGTGAGCAGTGTCTAAGATAAGCTTAAAAAGTACATTATTCCTCGGTAAAAGTGTGGGAGAACCATGCTTCGGCACGAATGGGCCGGCTCGATCGGAGTGATACCACGGCCTCACTGAAGACCGACGTGAAGTAACGCTTGCGTTGTGTTTCGTCGTATGAGTGAGGTTACCGGAGGCCCAATTACCCTCCCCTTCCCCAATCTCCCCAATACCTGAATCCCCAACGATCCTCAAACTACTAATCCCCAAAAGGCCGGTAACGAACTTGTAACGCCTCTGGTGTTCCAGGTGTCCATGAGCGACGCCGATTGCTTACCATCAGGTTATCCGTCTGCTCGTTTACCGGCTTTTATGCCAAAAACTCTAATTGAGAATTGCAACTTTAATTCCAGAAGTTTTTACATAAAAACTAAGGTGTTTATTTTCACGTTACAGATTTAGAAGGAGAAAAGATACATTTATCGAAAGCAGCCAATATATCCCTGACAGAGCTACCGCAGCAGGTGCCCGGCGACCAGGCCAGATACCACTTGTACATATTCAAGCATACACATGAAAGTGATTACTTTGAGAGTGTTGGTTTGTATCATTTTCTATTAACATTTACCAGCTTTTTACCCTGGCTGGCGCCACCCGCGTGGAGTTAGTCTATGGCATTCTCCATACTCCTCCAACTATACTTAAATAAAGCATAAACAAAATAACCTTGACATCTAAAAGTAAGTGTTGTTTTAGGGGAGTAAATCATCGAATTACTTCTCCCGTCTGGATGAGGCTCTGTCAGACTCTTACTGACTAAAAACCACCCCGTTCCTTCTCCTGCACGTCGAGCCGGAGCCCCGTTAGGTTGTCCGCGACTCCAAATCGGCATCAGCCCTGTTGGGCCCTATCCGTGGTGGTCTGATGGCACATTGAGGCGCGCCGCGCCGTACGCTCGAGAAAAGTTAGGGGTAGGGCCAATTTTTCAATGCTCAGATACATTTTTTTATCTTTCAATATTTGTCAATTTTTCCATGTAAAAAATTGTCAAATGTAAATTTTATTCTACAGTTAAGAATAAACTGATAATTGAAAAATCGGCCCTTAAGCCTTGGTCAAATAATTATTGGACATTTTAACCGACTTCAAAAATGGAGGTTCTCAGTTTGTATCTCGCGATTGGTTTTCAGAAAAGTGTTTGTTACACTTAATAGAAGGTTTTAGTATATTAATTAACCTTCTACAAAGAAGAGGGGGTTGAGTTGGTTTTTTTAAAACGTAGTTGATAGAACAATTTTAATTTGGAAACATTGAACTTAAATTCATTCCTATAATTTCATAATTTTATTCGACAGTATTCATCTACTCAATGCCGGGATACAACTGCAATATAAAGGAACGGATGATGTACTCCAGCTGTAAAGGACAGTTTTTGGAAATCATTGAGCAGTTGGGCATCGAGATTGCAAAAAGGGTAAGCGAAATTAATGATTTTTATATCAAATTAGGTGTGTATGGACACCTTATTCAATGTAAAAGGTGTGAAGATATTGAAACACCGAATGTCGAATCAATACTACCGTTTATTACAAGATTAGGCTGATTACACTAATAAAGTTGATTACACACTACAGAGATAGTTATACCACAACTCTCATGTACCATCAGTGACACTCAACTCTAAGCTGATCGGTCCTTACGTCCACTAGCGCCATCTTCTTTAAGTAGTGAATTTTCAGATTTCCCTTCACATTTCTAAAGAGCATCATTGATTTGATATTTCTTTTTCATTGAAATAAAAAGTGAACTGTTATTATGATAATTGGCTTAAAGCCTAAATAACTAAATATACTTACAGTCAACCAACATTACAAAAACATCTAACAATTGAAATTGTAGCTAACACCACTCCAATCATTATATCTTATCCCCAATTTCTACCTTACAGCTAGAAATAGACGACGGCAAAGAGCTTACAGAAGAGTTCCTTTACGACGAGATCCATCCAAAGAGGAACCTCCACCGTCCAACGTTTGCCAAGCCGAAGGGACCTCCGAACAGGGGAGCCAAACGAATCACTAAGTCACAGAGTACACAGTAGGTGTATTGTTAGTGTAAAGCTGATGGTAGATAAGTGGCCAAGATATAAACGGGTGTTGGATTAAATGAAGGATGAAAATAGATACAGTATAGACAAATAACTGGAACCAATCGTTTCTATAAAATACTAGCAAACCCGGCGAACTCCGTTTCACCTCCAGATGGCTTCGTTTTACGTAACATTTCGTTTGGTGATTAGTGAATTTTCTTTGCTATAAACCTCACGGAGCCCGGGACCTTTCCAACGCACGCAAAACCGTGGAAATCGGTTCGTGCGTTCTGGAGTTATAGCGTCAGGAAGGAAAAACCGACTTATTTTTATATAGTAGATTACAATCTATCATTAAAATGTGGACAAATACTGAACTATCTGACATAGCATAGGTCATTCCAGCAGACAGATCACCTGATTATATATCAGTGCTGCCTGTGGACAGTGTGACACAAAGGAGTCAGAATTCCATGTGAAACATTGACTTTTCTATTATTTTGTTACTTGTGCTAGACTGCTGCATATTATCCATCTTTAATACATTTCTCATTTAATCCAACTCTCTATATAGTATTAAATAAGGAAATATTTTTCTAATCTTCGGAAATCCTGTGGCTCATTGCACAAAATGTGAGATTTAGTATGGAATGGTACATAGTTAGTTTTGTGTTTTTCTGCCGTTAAAATAGCAACTTCAACTTCTACATTTGAAATACTTATTTTGTATGGTATGACCAATATTTTCAATTCAAAGCAATAAGCCACGTGATTTAAATATCTCTATTTTATCAAATGTAGTATTGTAGGTATACGCCTCTTAAAAAACTACATCTAACTTGCTTATTAAAAATTAAAGACTGTCATGTCAAAGTGCAATAAATGAAAAATGATAAAATTCTTCAAAATGTTTAAAACATAGATGACTTCAAAATCAAGTTTTTAAAACCAACTTCTAAATTGTATTCTTTATTCTTTTTAATGAAGCATGTATGAATTTTATTGTATACTACAAAAAAGTTGTAAAACAATCTAGTTGTATTTGAATATACTGAATTTAAAGTATTATTAATATTATAAATTGTAACTTTAAAATGTAAACGAATTATATAGTTGACAATGAAATTTTAGAAATTGCGTAGGTAACGCGGTCTTTTATTTTTTTAATTTAATGTGTAAATTAAATAGCTGTCTTTTTAGAGCACATATTTTGTATATCTGTGCATCTGTCTATTAACTTCTGTATACGTTTTAAACTGCTATAAAAATAAAACTCAAGAATATTAAATGTCATTATGCTAAAATCTTCTAGATTCAACTGCTGTAGGTTCGCCTGATTAACCTATTAGGCGCCACGACTTTTATTTTTTTACCAATAGTAGATCTTATCCAAATATTCTTCTTTTTATACTTGATAGGAAAGGCCACCAAGTTAAAATTGTTTACATAACTGTATCTAAACAAAAAAGTATGTTCTTGCTGGCTTCAAAATGTATAATTATTATAAAGTATTGTAAAATTCCGATATATTTTATCTTAATACTTATTTCATGTATTGTCGTATTGTATATTTTTGCAAAAATATTATTCGAATGTATATTCTACTATTCATATTGCGGACTTATTTTTAAATCGAGTTTTATGAACGCATATGTAGCTCAATCTATTTATTAATTAGATCTTGCCATTTTTAAAGATTTGTAACTTTTATTATAAGCGTTCTTTATAATCTCGTTTCAATAATTATAAGTCTTAGCATTTTTTTACCTTTCGTATATTAAAATTAAGTGAAATAATTTGCTGTTTTTAAACTAAAATTTAATGCACAAATGAAGTTTGTAAATACATATTTCCTTATATTTTTATAAATCGGTTTGACCACGTATGAATTGTGCAATATCTGTAACAATAAAACTGCTTTTAATATTATTTTCATTTTATTCAGGTAGCAGCCGAACTTATAATAAAATTGGATTATTCAGATCTTTGGACGTTTTATTTGCTTGCAAACTACAATTTGTGTTGTATTTATCTCATCCTTTTAAAATAAAACAAACAGTGTTATAAATTCATTTATTTTACTAATATAATCTATTTACATTCACAATCTGCAGATGCAGATCCAGCTTATAGCTGATATGAATAAAACATCGAATCAGAGAGGTTATTGCCTATGAACAACAAAAGAAAAAATCAGAAGTTACTTTACATTTTACAGGAAAACAACTTCACAGGAAAACTTTAACTAAATTCATGTTAATTTATCTTGTGGCACTAGAATCAATAATTTAAGTTAAATGGAATTAAAACAACCAGATTTTAAAAGAATATTGAACTGAATATTGGTTTATTTATTTACAGTATGGTAAGTTGGATTTTTTATTAATTTACATTTCTTCTATTTTCTTCTCTCCTTCTTCGACAACTAACTTTGTATGGTGGTCCGTAAGGCTGTCATACTTTTGTTTTGATGATTTCTCTAATGCTTGATTGAATTGCTCGTCTCTGTAAATAAAAATTAGAAAAACAATGAATAAATAAGTTATTTTGATTTTAATTTAAAAGCATTCAGTAAAAAACTATTTTTATATTTTTTACGCATTCATATAAATTTTCGTTGGCACTACTGCAATGACTCACGAACAGAAGTAAAATTATTTATAAATCTATAAAGCATCTTCTTATTATAATACACATACTTAGATAAAGGGGAAAAAATTAAAATAATAATAATTATATAGTGCCCTAATTACAAACTTCTCAACATCTCTCATTTGAAACATTTTTTTGTGTTTTGATAGTCCATTCATCAAACATCGCTACGACCAATAGGAGCCAAACAGAGTGGGTGAACTCGCTTAGAAGTAGCTATTTCTTATAATTAGCTAATTATCCATAAAGTTGACGGAAAGTAAACGATGCGGGTGTCGGTGGCGCAAGGCCTTTCGCATAGTGACTAATGAGCAGCACAGAGCAGTAGTTTATATGCACAAAAAAGGTGAGATAAGTTTCCAACTTTATATAGCACATTTTAGAAACTAGGTACATACTTACATACAAATACTAGACCAGTACTTTATGCATTATAAAAAGATGTTATACCAAGTTGCATCAACTTACCGAGCTTCTTTTAATTTGTACAAAGCTTTTCTAATATCTATCATGTCAACGCCAGTCACTTTCAATATTCCTAAAATAGTTATGCCAGCAACAAAACTCAATGCGGTTCCTGCAAAAACAAACATTAATAATTATTTTATAATTTGTCTTTTAATTATTTACTTCACTTGTGTAAAATATATAAAAGAGTAAAAGACTCTTATGCTTGAATACTGAATGTCGTGCTTAAATATCATGCCATCTCTGTCAAACAAAGAATTTATAGTGACAGAACTATACTTAACTCGTCGATTACCGGTTTTATAGACACAATTAAAGAACAATAGGTCGCGGTCACCGGTGACCGCTTGGTGTTTGACAGTTTAAGCACAACTTAAAATTGAGTAGTGTTTCAGCATTAGTTACATGATTATTTATCAAATTACCTGACAAAAATTTCAGACATCTAGTATCAACGTACAACATATCCGACTATAAAACATTTCTAAGCATGTAACACAATTTTTAAACAAGTACAGGTTGGATAAATCATACTTTTTAAACAGCCTTGTAATGAAATAAATAACTTTTTAAGTTAAGTCGTTAAATGATTATTGCATACATACCTAAACCAGCACCCACTAGAGTAGCAGCCAAACCCATATCGATTTTATATAACGCCCCAGTTAGGGCACCAGCTGATACAAACTCAATTAAAGACGTGTCTCCTCGGTACACTGATATTGTGGTTGATGTTAAACTGAAATTGTAAATACCATGATTAATATGATGGTTTCAATTTCAATAAGATATTTCAAAAGATAATCTTTTAGAAAAAAAGAAAGAAAGAAAAAGCTTTATTTCACGCCAAAAAACAAGTGACATGTACAAATAAGTCATTGTATTAGTAGGAACTGATGGATACATGTTCATGTCCCAAGTCTGCTGCGAAATGGGACCAGTTCAGCATGTGCAAGACAGTTTACTAATGTATAATAACAAAAGATGGTAGGATTTCAAGCAATTGCAAAACTGGGAAATAAAATAAGTGAAAAAGGGTCTGCAGTATATCAACAAAAATTATAAATAGTGTACGGTATGCTCATTGCTGGTATATATTAGCGGAGTATGTAGTGCAAACATCGGATTATTATAATATTTTCAAACGCATATTCCTCCCAAAATGCTTACAGTAGTAAACTATAAAACAGTATAGGATATAGGATTGATTCTATAGAACATGTTGAATATACCTGAATATTCCTGTAAAGAAACACAATCTCCAGCCCCACTTATATGCTCCCTTTGCAAACGCTACAGTTACATAATCTTGCAATTGTTTCTGAAAACAAAATAGATAAAATTCTTGTAACTTTTTTCTTAGTAAGTAAGCATGTCTGTATTTAATTTTATACTTTAATTGTCATTAAGATAAATATAAGTTTAATCTTTTTATAATATTACCTTAGCGGCGGCAGTAGATTTGAATATTGTAGCTTGATTATTCTCAATGAAATTCAGATAAGCTACCCGAGAACTAACAAATCCTCCCATACACGCACCAATAAACGCTCCACATAATGATGACTGCAGTACTGTGTTTAATTCTTCAGAAACTTCCTCAAATTCACTGAAATATTATTAAATTTGGAGGTCAGTATCTACATAGAATAATTAATTAATAAGTAGTTGGTCATATTGCGTGAGCGAAATAATATATATTGTAGTAAATAGAATAGTTATTGGACTTGCAAATCTATCAAAATTAAGCTAGAGATTCATTTTAAACTAAGGACTCATAACAATTAGTTTTTAATTTGTAAAAAACATTGTACGGAGAAAAGTAACCTCAATGTTTGCGTTAAGATTTTATGTATTAATCTGCTTACCCGCCCGTATACATTTGTTTGACTCTATCCCAACCCGTCTCAGGAATACTAGGGTTTGGCCTATTCAGCAGGTCCTTGTCATATTGACCAGAAGAATGTCGAAATACGCCTAAAGCTATTGTCGGTGACAACTTCGTGATTGTACGAAACATTTTGGCAATTAAATAATTTACTGCAGCAGTAGTCCTTATCACTAAAATAACTCTTATTTATATACACAACATAATATTATCTTCTAATATATTAATTCCGTTTTCAAATTTTCATTTTCATTTCACACAAACCGAGAAACCCCGGTGACATTCAATGTAATGTTTTGACAGCAGTAATGTCAGTAATTTGTCAGATGACAGTAAAAAATCCGTTCAAAAACGTAAGTTAGCAATTCCATTTTATGACTCAAAAAGACTTTAACTATTTCTAATAATTTTTGGTAACATTAATTATATTTTGCGACTTAAATTTAGATGTTCCAACTATTTGATGATGTAACTAGAATACTGAATAATTATTCTGAGCCATGCTTTGGGTGCAAAGTCACGAAAAATGTTGCGCGGCTAACCCTGCTAAAACTGAGCGTTTTGTCACTCACTCCCATCGCTGGTCTTGGAAGCTGTCAGGATTACTTTCAAGGGAGGGTTAACCAGATAACGTGCTTTATTCTTATTTTACAATATGCGACTCCAGTGCTAAAGCGGGAGAAGACATTTTCTTCCTCAAACAAAAATGACATGGTCCTTATCAATAACTAGTAGATATCTATGTTTATGTCAAAATATTTTATAAGAAAGCACACTACCCACTTCAACCTTTATATATTTACGTTTTACCATTATCTCGCCTGATGGTAAGCGATAATGACCCACCCATAAACAACCTAGGTATTCACTCGGGCGTTGAAGACACCCAGGACCAGCCTTCAGGAAACACAGTCTCTGGTACAAGGAAGCTTGATGCGCGTCATGCGTGTCGGTGGGATCTCTACCATGAATTGGTGACGCTTCGCCGATTGTCTTATGGTAATCGTACCAATAAGACAATCGGCGAAGCGTCACTTGATTTATTTGAATTAAGTTGTGCAATTCCCCCGCATACTCACAGAAATGTATCCGGTAGAAAACGGAAACGCTGCTTCAAGATAGTCGCCAAATAGGTGTATCTTAACAGGATTTTACTCACGTTTAGCCTTTTTTTTGTAGTGACTATCTAATCTACCTACGAACTTCGAGGTTTGCGATATTAGATATTGCAAGAGTGTCAAGTGATTTAGTATCAGGTACACCCGGATACAGGGTACCGTCCAGGGGCCAAGTGCCTCCTAATCTAGATGCAAAGCATGATGCGTCACGGAAAATGATTGATGTGGTTTTCGATTTTAGAAATTGCCAATAGGCTAGTTTCCTAAATTTTATTTTAATGTCCGTCTGGTAGATTACTTTAAAACATTAGACACGTATTTTTTCTTTCCTCGCAAAATTAAATGCTTTCGACGATACTTATATTGATTTGAAATGTCGTAACGACTTCCCACTCCTAAATTTAACTCCATTTTATCTAAGTATTGTAAATTTATACGAGAAAATAGAGAAATACGTGTCTAATATTTTTTCATTATCTAACTGACGGACTTATTACATTTTTAATTTTCTTTCCCTAGAAACTACCCAATTGCAAGAAACGAACGCTATATTATACAAAATCAATGGGTACTTAGATACTGTTTATTCTAGACAACCATGTTGTGATATACAATGACATAATTTTTGTTATAGGTTTCACACTAGGGTCCTCACTAGGATTTTCTAAAGGATGTTTAAAACCACTTAAATAAATAAATAATAGTTAGATACACTGGTCAGTAGGCCAACTTGTCCTGCCTTTGTATCTATCTTTATTAAATTGTGAACTTTATGCTTTTGACTTAAAGTCGAAAATTCAATGAAAAACGTACACTCTGCTACAAGGTTCAAAATAAGCTTTTTTGGTTCACTCAAAGAATAATAATTGTTCAATGCGGGAATTGAACTCTCACCGCTACACGTTGTGTGCAGCTGTTGATCGCCTGACCATTGTGTTGAGGCAGTTATTTTTTTTTTATTTTGTGCCCTTGGTTCAGAATGGGCCTATATTTATAAGATATCAAACTTAATTATTTTGACGAAAATCTTGGAGTAGGTTTCACAAAATCTAGAGAACTTTTATAACCAATGGGGTCGACACTCCCAATGATCAAATGATGACATAGATTAGTATGCTGATTGATTGGATGGCAGTAGTCTTGGCAGAAGTGGGCCAATTTATAGAATACCTAAGTAATATTCTTGCATCGACGGTGTCGTCTTGTCTAGTCGAGGTAGGAAATGAATGCGTGGTTCAAATTATTTGTAATGTTTTGATAAACTTGTGTTTAATTGTTTATAGGTTTAACTTGTAGGTGCTCGGTAGGATAAAGGTTGAAATAAAATAAAATCTCCATTTTCAACTATATTTTATTATAAAATCACAAAGAATAAATCTAGAATTCAATAGGGTAGTCACTTAGATATTAATATTGTTGTATATATTTATAATTCATATAACTGTTTTACATAATGTAGTTTAGTAAACGCACGGCCTCTCAGATGAACCGTGCGTGCATCATAAAAGTAATTTTCACAAACAATCATCAAAATATGTTTCATAGTGAAATATAGCTCGCTAAAGCTTGCCATTTGATTTTAGACGTGTCTTTATTAGAGATAAAACATTAGTTAAGTTGAAAGGAAAAATATTATTATATCCCTGTTATTTTTCCCAACGATTGGTCTTTGGCATATTGAATTAAGACTAATTAATATTGACATGTTCAAATTGTTTCAGCAAGTCTTACTACGATAGTGAACGAAATTAGATGTGCTTCCCGATAAACTGATGAGTTAAACTTTACGTTGAACCACTGTTTACATCTATTTAACTATTTTAACTTTACACACAACCCTTTAATTTGCACACCTTTATTTAATTCTTTTAATGAAACAACTAAAACGTTATTAAACGAAGAAACCAAGGGAGGTAGTAACAGTAGATAATATCTCCTACGAAGGGTTTCCATAAGTTAGGTAGGTATATAATTAACTAGAGCGACTACTGAAATTAAGATAGGATATTTAACTAGTAAATCTTAAAGTAAATGATTATTTTAATCTTTACTATAGATCCTATTAATTTAATTTGTAATTATTAACAAAGTCGTGTATAATATTTACAATTTCAGATTAATTTAACATGAGTGCAACTGCCAGCTCTCGCTCAGGATACGGTCGAAACAATTCAATCTAAATACATACAATTCGGAGTCTGTACACAGCTGTAGTCGGTTGGGTCTCGCTCCGAGTGTCACCGAGTGGCAGTCGCACAATAATTTCGCTAATTCAACGTTTCATTACGGAATGGTTCAGTTCTTTCCACACAGTAGGAATAAGGGACGTGGCACGGACACAAAATAACCGCCTCGGACGATCAAATGCCACGGGCAGCGCTATAATTTTATTCACATTATACCCTGTGCGAAATACAATATTCCACTTGATAATATTATATAAAACATAATTATCATTGGCAATATTTAAGTCCCTTACTCCCTTTACAATTCAATTAAACAACGTGATTTATTTATTTCGCCTAAATATTTATTTTCTTGAGTCAGTAGACCCAGTTGGAAAGGTAGAGAATGTTTATTCACAAGTTTTATAAATACATCAAAGCGTAATAGATATACTTTAAAATGTAGTCGAGTGTAGATTTCGCCAGGATAGTAATAATTAAGTTCTAAGTACGAATATGTCTAGAATACCAATTGTGTACTAATGTACATCATTTCATTATATTGATCCCCTTTAACATTTATAAGTTTTATTTACAAATACTTTCTCGAAACTTGTTCGGGTGGTCTGAAATAAAGGGATGAAATTACAACTATAGATATTGATGAATAACGAACTGAACGTGGCAGTGTATGATTGGTATGAAAACATGACGCTGCTGTTACTCCGCACCGCTGCCGTATCGTAGACAATTGGTATGGAAATATAAAATAAAAAAGGATTTAGGGTAGAAAGGGAAAGGATCGAAAATAAAGAACAAAAAGTATCAATGATAATAATAGTTTAATTATGAAATTAAAAATAAAGAGTGAAATTAACCACACAAAAGGCTTAAAATTAAAAATAAGAACAGACGACGACACGTGAACTTACAATGAAACATCTCGCGGTCGTCGCCGAGCTGAAGGAAGTAGACAACTAGACAGAATATCGAGGAGCGAGACAGGTTATACTATATGCGCCTTAGCCATACTTCTATTTACTGATATGTCGGCCTTTATTCATATCGTTACGAAGTACTAAATACAGCTAATATAATAATATGTATGTAGTAGAGATAAATATTATAAAGCGCAATAAAAGATAAGCATATTCAGTGTGATATGCGGAGATATGTATGGAACGCAAGAGAGACATAGGAAGGTGCGCTAACGCATAGAACAAGCACGTGACAGTCCGCCGAGCGCGGGACATCGTCAACACATCCGAAAACAACTTTCACATCATTTTTCAACGCATAACTTTAACTAACAAATTGAAACAATGTTCACTTACAATGAATAAAATTGCATATATTGCGCTTAATAAAACTCTCAAATATAATTTAACTGTAACATTTTCATCAACTTTTCAATAAATGTTAAGATTACTTCAATTACCTTTTACCTAAAATAATCTGTATTGACTTTAAATTTGGCATCTCATCCTAAACACTGATCTATTTATTTTTAATAATATTACCATTAAAATCTAGATATTTAAAATACTTCTCTAAACACATAAATTCCTATAATTATCTATTAGTCAATACCAATGTTATTGAGAAAAGTTTAGGCCTGAAAACGCTACACACACAGTAGTACATACATGTAGTAACGGAGCGAGTCTACGAATGTATTGAGCACAAGCGACTGAGTATACGCGACTGTTACGAGCAAACCATTCAACGTCAACCAAACGCGGCATGTGTGTAGCGTTCTACGCTGAGTACACTGGATATGTAATCTCCTCTTTGTGATTCATTAATTTAAATACATAGTAATAATAATACAATTATTATTAAAATTACAAATGCGATTACCGCCGCTCTCACGTCACTCGACCACCAATCCTCACCATTTCAAAACACAGGCACAGAATCCTGCGCCGTATAGAAAAACATTTTCAAAAACGTGCAAAATATCACCACACCCTGGTCACCTAACATTATCTAAACCAAATAACTACTTTTACGTTCTTATTATAGGTAGGTACTGATTAATACAATTGTATGATTAAATTTTTCTATTAAATCTTACATCGTAATGACATTCTAATATTTTTTTTCAGTTTAATCATCTTACTAAGCTCTATATCTTATGTATGTTACGTGATATAATTATTATACATTTCATAATAGTGTAAATATGTGTGACTTTTATAATTTCACAAATGTTTTCTAAAATAAAAGTTTATTTTTATTAATTTGTCGTGTGTTTGCCGACACTGGGATATGTTGAAAGTAATGCAATAGTGACGCTTGCCTGATGTGGATGCGTGGTACGTGCGCAGCCTGCGCCTGCGCCGCTCTGTGTCCGTCTGCCTGTACGTGTATACTGTACGTGTATACTGTACGTGTACACTGTACGTGTGCACGAACCGTTACCTCTTATTAACTCTACAATATACATTCCCTTTGCTATCCTAATTGAATACCGACCGTGGCATCGTCGAGATATGTAATGCGTTGGTTGATACGATATACTGACACTTACAATATTAATTAACATGCCAGCCGGCTCCCGCGGATGGCATCAGTATTCTCCTACTCGTCATATTCAGGTATCTGGTTCACGCATGCTTTGCCTAATCACATAATCTGGACGTGTAACTGAACACTTAAACTGGTCCTAACGGTAGCATGGCTCTCGCGGGCCGCGGGCATCCCTCTACCAACAAATTCGTAACCATATACAATCTTTTTACAAAAGCTTCCCTACCAGACTTTAAATATTTGAGACGAATTCATAAGATTTTGATAACGTAATCACTTAATTCACAAACTTAATCTCTTTTGCATTGGACTAGACATATTTTTTTAATTAATTTAAGAAGGCAAAGATGTGTGAAATCCAATCGAGAGTTTAGCGAAGTCCGAAGTGTGAGAAGCGAACACATCGAATTCGGAGTGTGTCTATATACAAAACGAAGTATCGAGAAGGACAGCTCATTAACTAAAATACTGTTTCATCAAGTTATTGTGACCTAGTGTAAATACTGTTGATTAAATATGTCGTAGAGCAAAATCAGATCTGGCTAATACTTTATAGACCGTCGCCGCAATTCCGCTGCAGTGTGGCAATATCGTAGCAGTACTGGAAATTATTCTAAATATGTTCGCGACAGTGGCCACACCGCCCAGCGCCCCCTACCGCTCACAATAAATAATTATCTAAAATTAACCACTTAGTGAAACGTATGCACGAGCATTTATATATGTTGTAGCTACCATTAATATAAATTAACATCGAAATAAATGCATCATGTCACTATTATGTCACTGAACATAACGTTTAAATAGTGATATACAACTAGATGCTTAGCGATAAGAGTTGTGATTACACTAACTAATCGTCAATAACTATGAATCAAGTGTAGAACAGACAATATCCTCCTAACAACGAAACAAGAATGGAAGCAAGGGTACGGTTACATCTAAAATATATTATTAAAATTATCTCTACAACTAATATTGCACACACATACACATTTCTAAACATAACATTCCATTAATAAAATAAGAAAAAATGTGTATGCGTACAAAACTATATTAACTTACAAAGAAATGCAATAATAGTAAATTGTGCATATTAAAATAGACAATAAAATATATGATGTATAAAATACAATTTAAGATAATAACTGCAAATGATGTGACCGAGAGATACTTTAACAATGTGCTATAATAATGTGATGAACAAAATTGTAAGGTGGTACACAACCGGGCACCGAACCCGCGAGCTCCGCGAGCTGGCGGCAGGCAGTGTCTCACACTGCGCGGCCCGGGACTCAAACCTAGCGCAATCTAATTGCAACACATACCGTCCTGATAATGTATAATAACCAAATTATATATTGTAATCACCGGAAAACATTACGAATTACAAAAATAAAATAATATTGATATACTTATTTAAAATATGGAATGAATATCACACAAAATATAATTCCTCTCTACGTTGATACGGTCCGTGGGGGATCGTATGGAAATACAAGCAGCGTTTGACTGTGATGATAGTATCTTAGATTAGATGTACAGTAACAGTAAACGTACGTATTTATTAAGAAAATAGAATAGCACTTAATCTCTAGTGATCCATGTAAGCGTAATACAGATATATTTTAATTTCAGTCGAGGGAAATTCTCGATTTGTGTGAGAGGTACGATGTAAGGGTCAGTCGCGCGGAGGCTCGCGCGGCGCGCAGTGTGTGCGGGCCTTACGTTGGGGCGGGCGCACACTGGGCGGCGGGCGGCGGGGGCGCGACTGCCTGCTTGTGTGATATTCCGCCGCGGCTTAGATGCTGGACTTGGAGAACGACACCCGCAGGTGGTTGGACTCCGACAGCTGGTAGTTGTGCATCTTGATCAGCGCCGCCACCGCGTCGTCGATCGACGGCAGCTGAACCAACGCCATCTTGCGGTCCTTACTGAAATTATAAAATTGCATTTTTAATATCGTTTACAAATGAGAAAGCTGTGCTTTGGGAAGAATGGGCCGGTTAAAGAGAGTACTACGGCTTCACTGAAAACATTGCATTGTGCAGAAAGCATTGCATTGTTCCACCGTGTGGTTGTCAGGTTGCCAGGGCCCCAATCCACTCCCTCATGCGCTGTCTTCAATTCCCAAATCCCCAATTCCTAAACCTAGCCGACAATGCATTTGTAACTCCTTTGGTGTCAAGTGTCTCCATGATGTGCCATAAAAAACCATAAAATAACATCTAAAATTCAAAACTATAATCAATTTTGTTCAAATAACAAATGTACAAAAAGTAATCTACTCACGGGAAGAACTTGAACGCCTTAATCGTGAATCCTCGCTTGGTGAAGGCTTCCTTGATATCATCTTCAGACACCGTAGCTCTGGAAATTGATTAGATTGATGTTAGATAACTTTGGAAGTAGTATACGATCGTTTTCGAGAAATAAATGAAAAGGAGTCTTACGGAATGTTGGACAGGTGGAGAGTCGCGCTTGGTGGGTAGATGTTCTGGTAGTTTTTGCTGCCAGGCTTCTTGAATCTATGCAGCGGGCTCTGGGAGTAGTCCCTGAAAATTAAAAATACACACACATAAGCACAATTATTTTTCTTACTGTTATAATTTCGTGTCAGCACAATATTATTTAATTTTCCATCCTGCATCAGAAATTATACGATGGCAAACTTCTTTTTTGTCACATAGTAAATTATGTACAAAACACTATCAACCATTTGTAGATATATAATTTCGTAGCACAAGTTTCGTAGCTCTACTACACACGCTCTAAAGTCTACACCGTTCACTGCTACGCGCGTAGCAATGCGCCTACACACGTAGCAGTGACAATCTTACTACGCAATTAAGTCTCACATACATTTAACTGCTTGTGTTTTTGACATTGTGCAAATATTAATTATGCGTTAATAATTTTTAATGTTATAATATAAATAAACGATTGTCATATGGTCACTCTATATGGTGTCAATATAATGACACCTTGTCTGTGTGGTTAACATATTAAACATTGCTTTATTGTTAGCTTCTAGAATATTTGACGCAGATTATTGAATGAGTATTGGAAATTTAGGCTTTACGAACGCCGTACAAAATAGGGCCACAAAGTCAAGCTCCGATTGAGACGAGTGATATAGGTATAAAGGTCATGTCAATCAGTCTAAAACAATATTTGTAAATCTGTCAACGAAATATGTTTTTGGTTCCCAAAATAGATTTTATGATTAAAATGATTTTAGTTCATAGTACTTATTTACTGTTCCTTTGTTCGGTTTGTCGCCAACGAGTTTTTTTTTTCAATCGAGAAATATATTATTAGTTTTTTATTAGTCTAAAATCGTACTTGGTGTCATTGGTCCAATGGTTACAAAAGATTCGTAAACACGTGGATAATCTATTTTTATTCAATGCTTAGTCTTGCTTACTCTTACCGATCGATATCAATAACCAACCGAATCAGAAACCAGAAACTGGACTTGAATTGTATGTTTAGTAGTTGTATTAAGTTTTTGTCAAAAGTTAAGGATCAACCCAGAGAGATTAAAATCGACCGGATGAGGATTTTTTTATTATATTTTTTTTAAACTTTGCCCTCCACTGGGGTTTTCTCCTACAGGAGATACATATACAGATACATCGTGGATGCGTTTACAAACATACAAGTTCATATACACATGACACCCAGACCCGAAACAACAATTTGTGGATCATACAAAGAGTTGTGCCGGTCGGGAATCGAAACCGCTACACGTTGCGCGGCAGCCGGTTGCCCAGCCCCCACACCAACCGTGCAGTCATTAAAATGGAGATTAGTATTACATTAACACAAGTTTATGTCTGATTTCAGGGGAAACATCTACAGAAATAGCCTCAACTTAAGATTGAGTGAAGATACGACAGAATGTAAATTACCTGGTGAGACCAGCGTCTGGTTGTCCTTCCTTGGGCAGCTGCACAGTCTGGTGCTTGCTCAGCATCACGCGCATCGCCTTGCCGAATACGCGAAGTTTGTCCATGTGGGTCATCGCTGGGCCAAAGATGTAAGATTAAGGTAAGTAGGTATTTTTATGTGGTTTACTAGCTTCGTCTCTTGAATATGTTTTACTAAGATCTATGTTTTGTAATAAAACCGACCTTTGCAAAATGGTTTCGTTGCCTTTGTACCTACGGTTCTCAAAAAATAAGTTTCCAGCTGTGTCTTCTAAGAAGAAGGGTTGTATTCTAAATTTACCAGCTAAATATTATTTGGTGAATGTAATTGAAAAGAGCATATTTTCCACTATTGAATTTGAGCTGAAAAAAATCTTCAAATTCCGCAATTTTTTTATTCGTTTAACCAAAATATATTCATTACTCTATTGCAATTAATCAACAAAACTAAATATCTATGATAATCTCAGATAGTAAATAAACAGTATTTCTTAAAATAATCTTAATGAATTCGACTAAGTAGAAAGTAAAGTAAACAACGACACTTCATGTTATAAGAAAAATAAACTAGAGCAAAGAGGAGAACCATAAGTACACTCATAATCCTAAATAAATACAGCCCCTTGTGAACGGGAAACCGACTTTATGTCGATAGGGGTAGAGTTTAGAATGGAGTACGTACCTAGATGGGCCTGGTGAGGTTCGGCCATCTGAATGAGGGCTGAATCTTTCTTGTTGTAGAGTATCTTCACCCGTTGCACATCCCCGTACACGCCTATACGCAAACAAAAGTCTTACAAACACGCACCGAGGTTATATCACAGTCACTATAGATAAAAGATCGGTATTTGTGTAGAGTGTGTTTTGTTTATATTCAGTAACAAGTACACTTGAGTTGAAAGAAACACAATCTAACAAAAACCGGACAATGTAATCTCAATGTTGTCTAGAGTATACGTATATCTATCTAAGTTACTACACTTAACACTTTCCTAACACACAGCATGTTTTAGTACAACGGCTCGTAATATATAATGTCGTGAAACGGGACAGTTGGAAAATACAAGAAGAAACAACTCCAAGCTCTAAATTGGTCACGTTAAGCTTTCGATTAATGCTTTAGCGGTTACCAGCGCGGGCCGTGTACTGGCGCGCTGTGTTAAGCAAATTACTGCAAACAATTATTCATTTCTACTGACTAGTTAACTAGCATCGAGTTCTTATATTCTCGTTTGTTTGTTAACGCACCTCTTTATAAAAAGCTTAGAGGCGATTACCATGTTTGTGGTGTCGCCGTTTACGGGTGGTACGGTTCCTACTAACTTAATAAAAAACATAAAAATAAATGTTTATATGACGATCTCGTCACATAGAGATGCGTGTTTCGCTGTACCGTATCTAGTATGAAACTGACAGCCCACAAAGAAAATAAAATAATAAACTGAAATAAAGACAACACTGGGTATACAGACGTCTAACTAACTTAGCTACGACTAGGGTGTCTGAAACACAAATTGTCATACGAGTTAATAAAGCGTTTAGAATTTAGATTCGATAGTGTTATCAAGCAAAGCTTCGACAAGTCGTCGGATGCGGTTATCAGTACAGAAGTCGAGAATGTTAGCTGACAATTTGTCTTTCAGGCGACAGGGCTCAGGAGCAATATTAATGTTTTAATATAAAATACGGAATGTATGTGCACACGTACCGAAAAGGGTAAAGAGAGCGTCAGGCGTGACCATCTAAAACAATAGGAAAGAGAAAAGAGACAGTATTATAAATAGTCGTAAAAGATATCTGACATCATATCTATAAATAAATTAGCAACTTATCTTTAAGGAGTTTAAGTAGAATATATAAATATAACAGCCTGTAACGCCCTTCGTGTGGTTAATGCATTAGTTTGTTTGAATATAAAGTGAGCCCACAATCACAATGGTGTCTGACACGGGCGTTACTGGCTATTGTGTTAGCGTAATGAATAAATTTGCCAATAAACATTAAACTACTAAGTCGAAACAATGTAGGAATTTTGTCTAAACTGTTTAAGTACAATCGGGAGTCGTTTTTGGATTTTATCAAGAGCAATTTTAATCTGAGAAGTTTTAAATTCTGTATTTTGTATTTGACAGGTAGAAGGGCGGTTACGAGAAACAGAAATATAAATCCGCCTGCCAGTATTGAGGTGGGTTATGTTGTTTGCGTGGGTGTGAGTACCAACCTCCTCGTTGAGGTTCGAGACGAGCAGCACGGTGGCGAGCGGCAGTGGCGGCGCGGCGAGCGCGCGCAGCGCCGGCGACGCGGGCGTCAGCGTCAGCGCGCCGAAAGCAGGCAGCCCCACGCCGCCTACGCCTACGCCGTACGGCGACGCCAGTCCGGAGCCCAGCCCAAGGAACTGAGGCGCCAGCACCCCACCACCTGCGATTATAACACCAGAGTCACAAAACGAACCCATTTTTATTCCATATCAAAATGTAAAAGGAAAAATAAATATTTAATATACATATCCTAATTGTCTTTTTATTCTACCCTACTCCTAACCTACATATAAAAACGATTTGTAAAAGTTGGTACACAATGCGTAACGTAAATGGAAGTCAACAGCAATAAAAACAAATCAAAGAACATAATTATAACATAAGCAGAACATTCGCAATGGCGGAATGATCCACACATATTACAACTCTCTACGGTGCAATACGGATTTATGACGAGTTATTAGTCACCGCGGGAATATTTAGCATTGAAATAAAAAATATGAATAATAAACAAGAAAAGAGCTAACGTGGAATAGCAAATGTAATTTGGAAGCGTTATTGAAGATTTATTTCACACTGTTACTCCATACGCATATTGACGCAACAAAAAACACGCATTTACAGCCAAGAATACAAAATCACCGTAATTTGCAACATAAAGAAAAAAGGCAAAGGGGCCTTTTATACAAAAACATCAAAAACAGTGAAAATGAATAAAATATGGGGACCTATCAGACTACACGGGGAACAAAGCATATCTCAGGCATTCAAGATTAATGGTATTACTAGGGACATAGACAATGTACAGAGTTCTAACGTAATGAACATACCTGAGTTTGAAGTTATAAGAGATCGAAAGTTTTGAGATAAGACAACCATTAAACTACCTTAACAAAAAGGTGCAAGAGCGATCGAAGTGAAGTCCAATAGCCAAGTGTAGAGAGGCAGACGAAGATACCAATTAAAAACAAAAAGGTTTGAACAACGATCTGCCCCATAGCGCAGGTCTCGTGGATGCAGGACAAGAGTCTACAATACTGTGTGAGAGTTGGAGCGCAGTGTAAAAGCTTCCAGGTGCGCAGAGTAGTGAGGACTAACTCATCCTGGATGCGAGGGCCAGGGCGAGGCGTGCCCGCAGTGGCATCAACTCACTGGTCAACAGCTGGTGCGCGTCGCCGTCGCCAGAGGGCAGCGTCGGGTTCGTGTAGTCCCGGGACTTGTCGTTGTTATACTTCACGTTGAGGCACGTCATCTTCGAGTAGTCGATGCGCAGTGTGCAGCACCCGTTGTAAATATTCTGCCCGTCTAAAGCCTAAAAATAAATAAAAAAAGTTACCATTATTGAAACAACTTTTCTCGTTTGACACGAAAACAGAACGAATTATAAATCTCATCAAAAACATATTACAAGTCGAGAAAGTTTCACTTCTTTTGAGGGTCGTTTATTTGAGTGATAATAAGGATGTGATGATTTTTAGTAATAAAGTGAATCGCATTCAATTTAACTTTTTAATACAATCAAGTTTACAAGAAAAAGCGTTAGGTAACCCTGGCTCGTTGTCTTCTTATTCATTTTATAATTTATGTCGGAAGTATGAGGACAACAAAGCAAAATTCCTTTTAGCACGAGATAAAAAAGTGGATCGATACACTACCCGTAACAAAGAAGAAAAACTCGCATTATGGCCGTGTCAAAATTGTTACGTAGCGAGAGCAACAGCTATTTGTTTGGCCGCGACGCCTGCGGGAGCCTGATAACACCACATCGCGATAGAAAAGAGAATTAATTAAAATGCAACAGCACTCAACCCATTCCTGCGAGCATAAAGCTAGCTCGTCGGCGCGGGCGGCGCGCCTCTACATATTTTTATAATGAAACCAGAATGCAACACGTTTTATTTTCACTAATGAAACTAATGCTATAAAAGGACTGTCGTATTTATGATCGTGGTCTCAGTGCAATCGTCTGGCATTATTTATTGTTACGAATGTCATACAACTTCGCAGAGAATACTTGGATGCTTTATGTTTGTTTCGAAATACGAACTTTAGTTGCAAGCATAATGTTAAGTGTGTGTATTGAAACTGGATTTTGAACTTTGAATATTCACTTCGAAAGAAACTTAACAATTTTCTAAATTAATAAAACAGTTTCACTCAATTAAGTGTTTCGTGAATCCAGGCCGTTCGGCGGGGCTTTAAAAGGTTTTGTTAGCATTTAGGTGAATACAGAATACGCTTAAGTAGTTGTGCTGTGTTACATACTGAATTAATTTAATTTGATAGTGACTTTAAAATGAGGCGTTGAAATGGTTCTAGGATAACCTTACTAAAATGTTTTACCTAAGAAGCTGGTAGAAGAAAAGTTTTATCACAGGATAAAAATTAAAAGCGTGAATTATTTAATTCCTGTGGAGTAAATTGGAGTTCCTTTGTAAACCGTCATCTGTCAAATGAATTATGACATTTTTACGACGGACTCCATTAGCTGAATAAAAATGTTTTGGGCTTTTAATGCCTTAGTAACGTAAATGATTGTGCTAGTAGCTATCGTTAATTATTGCCGGAGCCATTGTCTTTTTCTGTTATTTTTGCGCCGGAGGCTGACAGTAATAAAAATATAGGGCTGCAGGGTAAATAAATCAAGTAGATCAGTTTTAATAGGTGCCGCTCATAACAACTCTTAACAGTCCAATAAAAATATCGGGGGACTCTTCGAAGAAGCAAAAGTTCGATGTCGGAACGTGGGATATTGGCTGTAGATTTAATAAATTTCTGTTCTATATGCAAATGCGACCCCCTGATGTGTAGACGTGAATAGATTGGCTCGTTTAAAGCTCAACTTATATGGAAATGCGAAAGGCACGTAAGAAAGCGTGGAAGAAGATAGCTTCGATACGTAATTAGTTTTGTAGAGCCTCGAGGCCCGAATTCGATTTTGAATGCCAAATGTACCGCGGCGAGCGTAAGAGAATGTAACAAGTAATTAATTTACAATTCTAATGTACATTCATTTAATACATAGACATCGTCGAGTGACATTTTAAAAGTCAAATGAGAACATAATCTGTGATTCCGATATTGTTTCATTCTCGGCAATTTGCATTCGTTACCAAAAATTATGGGATAAGGCAGTCATAACAAGAGTGGACATTACAAAGCATATCTCAAGTGGCAATTATCTAGATATTCATACAAGGAAATGTTTTCTTTTTTCGTTTAAATCCTGAAAGCGATTATCTTAATTGATATGAAACCTTTTCAATCAGACAGAAATCCGAGCGGACAGATTTTTATTGAAATGGGGATATAAAATTCGCGGAAACAATAATCCATCAACTTGATCGTTCGTCTCTTAGTGTGGTGTATAAGTAGTATGGATGCCTGTACTACAATAACTTTTGAATAAATATATAGGAATATCATATACTTAGGAAGGTATCAATTCACGAATTCGGAAAAATGAATTATTATTGCATTATTATGTAGGAGAATAGTTGTTAGTAGATTTATTTTGTTTTTCATACTTGATTACCAAGTATTTTCTTTAAAATTCTTACTCTCATATAAAAGGGCTTGTATCTGCTTAGCCCAAGTTTTTCTATCAATTTAATAAATAGTGTTTAATACCTAACCCACATATGATTTTGTTAAAATCAGAACATAGGTTTGCGTCAGCAATAAATATCATACTATACAATGAAAGCCAGTAGATCCACATAGATACAAGTAAAATAAACTGTTACAATAACAATTAGACCTTTAATGAAGATATCTCAGTTGAACGTTTGTCGTGGATTTGCCAAAGAAAAGAATGAGAGGAAAAAGAATAAGAGGGCACGAAGGATTTTGAATTGCAGATTAATTTCTTACTTTTTATAAGCTTTTTCGGAGGCACTTTTGAATTTAACTCGGTCGTTACTTTAAGAAGTCTTATTTTAATCTAAAAATCTCGTTGTTGCTTAGAAAAGATTGTGTATATATTTTTCGAGTAAATCTGCAAAAACATTAAGTCGTTAGATATTAGGCACTATGAATAACATTTCAGTTAATATTCTTTTATTGCTTTGGGTAAGTAGCCAGAGAAATTGTTTAACGATTTCACGGCAATTAGTTTTGTGGTCTTTCTGCTAAGTTGTTCCTTTATCTAATCTCGACTGACTGTAGGTCAACTCCCTCCGAGACTAATATTTCATTTAAGTTGTGAGATCTACCGGCGAACAAAGTTATTCCAGAACATTAGCACCTGACCGTTGTAAAATCCGGTATTCAAACTATGAAGGAAAATGTTCTCTTTCGGCGAGACCCCCCGACTCCGATCTACAGCTCTCTCAGTATCAATATTCTCGAGAATTTCATTTTAATCTTCTGAAATGGTTATTTGCGCTCGCGGAGGGAGTCGTAATTGAGGTAAAAAAAAAATTAGGAAGAGTGACAAGGTGATAAAACGACAAACGTCACGCCCGATTTTATATTGGAATCTTTTACTGCGTAATAGGGTGAACGAATTTCCGTTCAGTCGATTTATTGGATTCTACAAACACTGATAATAAATTTTTCACTTATATTTTCTGAGGTAGAAAGTCAAGTTTGAGCAGAGGAGACGGGAAGGGTTCGCGGACACTGTGTCGGCGGCGTCAACGTAAGACGTAACAAGTGTCGTCCGTATCTCTTAATCACGTCTCCGGTAATTGTTTTATCTTTAGCTCGTTAGAACTCGTTTAAGCAAAGCCTTCTTAGTGAAGGATTAAATGCGGTCCGCCTTAATCCACCCCCCCTCCGTTGCTAATTCTGGCGGTTTTTCCACGGAGACCAGATAAACGTTTTTGTTGGGGTCCCGAGCTCGCCGCGTTTAATATTTATAAGAGCCCACATAGCTCAGAGTGCTTCTGTTGCCGGTGCAAGGATTACGCTAGTGCCGCAATGCATTTGGTTTTTGTCCGCAGATGACGTCAGAGAAATTGTAATGAAAACATTTCGGACGCATCATTTTTATCTTTTATATTATGTTCAATTTGTGTAATATATATAGATACCAATTTCAATGTTTTAATTTAGAATAGTTCAGTTACTTTACTAAACAATGTTGTTTTGGACGGGTAGACATCCGCTCGATTAGCCACGGATAAAGGATCACTTATCAGGACGGGCAGCTCGACGGTAGCGACGGTATTGCACCAAAACCCCACTTCGATAGCAAGCTTTTAACTATTAATAAAAATAAACCAACAAACAAAAACTACTGCAAAATTGCTCATTTTAATCACTTCGCTTTTGCTATTGGAAAAGCATTTAAAAATTTAAATCGGCACAAAATGAGATTGCACTGTGACGAATGGCACTTTGAGTAATTTCTTTTTGGTTTGTTGAAATAAAAATTAAAACGGTTTCATTTTTTGCCGAAAAATGCATCCAACTTCAAACATAAAAATGTTATGGTTTGACTAGTAAAATAAAATTAATTTATGCATTGTTCGGTAAAGATAAACAGTACTTTGTAAATGGCAGTTAGAATCAAAGTAAGTACTTACTCGCAAACAAAGGTACGATTGACTCTTGAGTATTCCACAAAATGTACTACGAAAAGTGGAGTTTAGCGAAAGGGGAAATAATAAATTAAGTTTTGATAGTGGCTCTAACCTAATTACGGTACGTAGGTACACATTTGGGGACGCGTCACCGAACAAACCGCGTTCGCTCCATTAGACAATGTAATTAATACTCGCGGTTACCCCTAATTGTGGTTGACTGATAGTGACGAACGAAAATCGAGTGACGATAGCTCAACAACCGCGCCCACTTAACACACCGTTTCAGTTTGCTTTGGAAACGAAACTAAATTGGTGCTAAATGTATGTACATTGTGACATCATGAATAATGAACTCTGCCACTATAGCCGCGGGGGTAAGGCGTGAATCGGTTTTGTCCATGAACAATATATTGTTCATGAAACATAATGGCATTGTTTTACCTATGTACTATGTAGTATGAGCGTGTAATACAGCCTACAGGCGGCTTTATTGTCGAGTAGCCAAATAAAGCAGAGAGGGCAAACTTTAAAACTAGTCGCCGCGGTGTTGATTGTCAGTGCCTCTTGATTACGGTAAGCAAACCAGCCACAGAACACTAACAAAACAACTGCTAAACAATGTTTGACACGTAACTAGGTAATGCAGAGTGCAGCTCAAGCGTTGTTGACACAGTCTGAGGACTCCAAACAGGAGTGGGCGATGGCACGTGCAATTTTAAACGGGACTCGGACCTCGGTGCAGGGGAACGACGAACTGTTTGTTGGCCGCCGTGAAATTTCTATGAAGTTTGACCGTCACTAGCACAGTGCAAACGAGACTATAGGTAGTTTCAAACTTAGATACAATGTATTTTGTGATGCCAATAGCAATATTTCAAATAAAGCAAAGTTCTGTGAGGCAACAAATGAAATTTCCTTTGATGGTACATTGATCTGTTTCGGGAGATAGTTTTAGTGCTTCAGATTCGTGAGACGCCATTCGTTCAGTGCAAGTATTACAGACTCGCTCAAGGCGAAGATATAACATTTTTGACGGTTACATTGTTTGAACACGTCCCAGTGTTGACACAAAGACACCGGTTAGACGTTGCCGCAGTGCAAAGTGCAATTTTAAAATGTAAACAAAGCCCGCACCTTGAGTCCATAAACGGTATCTCGGATTTCGCCTTATTGAACCTTGGAGACGAAGTCTTGTCAAGTTTACCTCGTTTACTTATATGAAAAATACGAACGGCTGGTACTGACACGTATTACTTTTTTATGACAATAATTCATGCAAATAGACTGCGCTGTATGAATTTGACAATTATTTATGATATTGGGAGCGATTCATATTTTATTTATTCGCGCAACAAAACGGGTCAAACGAATCGGAAATACCTGTATTCAGACGGTAATGAAAAAATATTTGAATGTAACATGATGTAATCCGGGTGTGCATATATATCAGGACGAGTGGTGAAAAATCGTGTGTGATATAAACAATAGATGGGGACGCACCTCGGACTGTTAATATGGATTGTCTGTGACAGCGTCGGCCACGTTATGGATGAGGCTGGAGTAGCAGGCCGGAGGGCCGCATGAATCACATTGTTATCAATCATAACTTACTGATGGAGCGGCCAAGGTTCTGATTAACGGTCCACGATACAACCACTACACTAATGACTGTCTCACTGTTGCCAGCTCTACTGTTACTAACTTCAAATGATCATCGAGAAATAAACATGTCATTTATACTTAAAAAAAAACAGAACTATTTCCATTTGGTCTCGGTGCACTTTGCCAAAGTTGAGAATATGTAAGCAAAGTGTATATACGGTACAGGTATTTATATACATTTACATGACTGTGAGTACATGTAGTCGAGCGCATTAAGACCGTACATTTCGTGTCTGGGCGCATAAGCCGCCTTCTGAAAAGATTTGATGGCGAGGTTAGAGATTTATGTCAAGGATCATAGAGCCGGGATCGGGGGATTTCAGAGCTCCTAACATCCAACTGTGCCCTTTGTGGCTGGAGCACTATCCGGCTTCACTTCACTTTGTACCTCTTACTTGTGCTGCCACTTACCTCGCGGGACGTTTTAATTCCATTTCGAGAAAAAACCGAGTCCGAAACGAGTGCCTACACGGTACCGAGCCGGCTACCGTTCAGTTTGTAAAGGTGGTGTGTCATTAACTCTGTCTAGTGTGTAGTAGTTAAGAACTTACTTAAAGGTTTGTTTGTGAAACTTTTAGTTTATTTACTGTCTGTATTTACATGCAAACAACAAAAAACAAAGTAATAAAACTTTCACTGAATTAGAAAATGGAAAAGAATAATACCCCAATAAAATAAACAATGATTAAGAAGAACATGCCGATTGCATGTAGTATTGCAATAAACAGGAGGGGCAATAAAAATAAATGTAGTAGCCGACATTGTATGCTCGTTAGGTGGCATCGGAGTTACGGACTAGCGAGTTACGACCTTAGACCCCTTAGATCCGTTAACGAGAGCAGACTTATTGCCGTCGCGACCACTGCCGGAACTCGAGTACCAACTAAACCAATGTTATTGCGCTGACACTCGGATTAAAGTACGCTATCCACATTTCAATTACTTTTAAAATACGATTCAATTTGGAAGAAGTGGTCTTTAAATTTTATACGTTTGTTGTTGATCATTTTGTTTGATGTGAAACATCGATCTCTCATAATTCTTACGCAGTTTTTTAAGGACGCAGAGGTACTGGTAAAGTCAATTGTATTAAAATATACAGAGTAAAATGTAAATGCATGCATAACTCGCATAAAACACAATGTAGCAAAATGTAAAAATCAATTTTATCATAATACCAAATAGGAGAACGAGTGAATCCGCGTTTATTACAGCTAAAAATAAAGCCGTATTTGATCCGGCTGCAGCAGTCAGCGCGCCGACACGGTCCTATGCTCGACTCCAATCACGACACAGTTGATGGGACTTAGCGTTGCTAAGTTTTCACCACTATGCTCTGCCGGTGATATCTCAATTTCACGAGGGGTTTCCCCGCTACCCAACATTAATTTGTAACGCTAAGTAATAAGCTGTGAGCGGTACAAGCCCTTAACTGTGATACCTGTGTCATTCAATTGCAACGCGCTACCAGTTTGCAGCTTATACCAATCGTATTAAGCTCCACAGGAATTGGGCGTAAAGAGCGACTAATTAGGACGGATAGTCGACTCGCTATTGTAGAATTCATTAGCGAATTGTACCTACGCCGTGAGGTATTACAGACAAATTCGACAAATGAATGGACTAACAAACACGCTAAAATTATCTTCTGCTGTTATTATCCCTGTTACGAATTGTTTTGTTCGTATTCGTATACACGAAACTTATGAATGTAACAAAAGAAACTTTTGCCACGAGTCGTTGCGTACGAATGATAAAAATCAAAAAGCGAAACTCAGTCGCCATCGGTCGGAAACAAAGTTACGTTCAGCGATTCATAACCGTATGGCAACGAAAAAAAAACAAAAACTCGATAATTATACTCGTAAAGCGAGTTTGCGGAAGCCGCAAAACGAAATTTAATTTGCCCTGAACGCTGCATCAGAAATAAAGTTAAAACAGTCGCTGCAGTAGGCGGCAGTACGCCCAACTTCTAACGCAAATGAATAGCGAATGGGAAAAGTTGAGCCGAGAAAAATGATGTCCCACTCGGCGAGTCGGGCGCCGACTATTGTCGTGGACTCGCGGCTGCCATGTTGTTTCTCGATATTATTGTTATTAAATGCACATAAACGTTCTGTTGTTGTTAAAGCTTTGTTGTAGGTAAGCCGCGGACAAGCGTACACGAAAGTTTAATGCTTTGAGGGCGTCCACACTCTAAATGAACTGATGCAGCTGTTTTTTGCGTTTATTTATACTCCTTTTTATTTACATTTAACATTGTAACACAAACAGTTGAATTTTATCGTGTTTTTTTCAAAGCGTAGTGATATGGCAAAGTTCTGTAGATACACAGTTCAAGAGAAGTAAATTCGAGGAGTCACTTCATTTCAAGATAGTTCGAGAGTCATTAAAGTGAATGAAACGTGCGGCAATAGGAACTTTGTTTTATGGCATTACTTTACAAACAGTTAAATAAAAACAAAAGTCTTTTCACTTACCGTTTTTGCCGTTTGCGCCGATACCGTGTCTGGATACTGAATGAGGGCTTGGAATGAATCTGTAAACAAAATAGACTCCGGATTAGGACTAATGAGAACTGGGAGTGTTGAAAAAGAACTGCAAAACTCGTTGATCTTTCTTTAAAAACAAAACTTAAATAAATGTTGTCTCGATGTTTTTAGATCTTTAATTAAAATATAGGGTTGTAGTATATTTTAATAAAGAGAAATTGTTTTAGTTAAGAAGGTATCGTGATTGAAGTTACATTTTATAAACTTTTGAAAATACTAAGAAGTTCTAAACCGTCTAGACGTCTTAACTGTTGATATTTATTCAATGTTCTTATTTGAAACTGAGTTATTTATTGCTTTATAAACAATATTGTTATAAATATATCAGATAAATTAACACTTGTGATAGCAAAATCAGTTTGTAGTTGAATTTTTGTTTATGATTCGTATCGTAAAAAGTAGTAAACTTATATTAAGATAACTTCTGAGATTTGTAAATAGTACTGCTATATTAAAACTACCCAAGACGACATAATAGTATTGGGTATTGTAAAGTTACATTATTTTTATAACAATTTTCATAGTCGTAAAACAATTTTCTCTAGAGTACTCGAGTGTTGGATGTCTCACGGAATTCCTGACAGGCAATATCTTGTTCACAAGAACGTTCAAACAAGGTGAAATTGGCGCCCAACGTGGGGCGCCCGCGATCCTCGAACTCGTTGCGAGTTAGTCGCAGGTGCACCGCAGCTATTTTATCATCAACACTTTAGCGTATATTTCACTAAACAAGTTTCATGCCTATTTTACTTTCGTCATAAACTCGGAAAGGAAGAATTTATTGCGTCTGTCACGTTGTTTCGCTCGCTCACCTAGTGAAACTTTGATGCGGTGGCGTGTAAAACTGCCTTATTTCGGGGCATTGACAATAACACATTGTTACGAGTATAACAGGTATTCTCTGGGGTTAATCAATGACAAAAAAGTCATTAATCACGAAAACGAGTGCGTAAACAACGTAGAAAGTGTGGGAGCACATTTAACTGGAATGGTCCCACAAGTAATATAGTTGGCGGAGTATATTTAGTGCGAGGATAAGCGGTAAACCCCCTAATTTAAGGCATGAGCCGGGCGATCATTGCCGTCCGCTGGGTGAGAACATAAATTCACATTTTTAGGAAACATCGTTCGGGTGGGTAGCACCTGCGTTGGCCACATTACGTACCATTAGACGGTGTGACACAGACTCTGTTTCACTTAAGGCAGTGTTGAGCTCGTTATATCGTTATTCTGAGGTTGCTTCGTTGTTTTAAAACCCCTCAAAGCTGACTTTATGTCCGCCGAATATTTTGATATAAATAAAAGCTAACCTAGTAACACAGGAAAATTTGAGCTTATTTCTTTGTGTATAATGTATCGTAGGTGCTAGCTATAATATAAACAGCAATGAGACAAGTACCTTTGAAGGACCTTTGAAAATGTTTGTATCACATTGTATACTCATAAAACTCTAAATTGAATTAAAAAATTACTAATAATTTTAATTTCTTCTAATGGAATTGATGAAGATCAGCCCTTATAAAAGTTAATTAAAATTAGTAAGATACTACATTGTGTAATATATGGAGCTGCATAACAAACTGGTAGTAGAATTTGTTATTCGACTTCTCCAGCACCTCAACAATTTGCCTGCATCTATAAAATATAGAACGCAGACCCACTCAAGGTAGGCAACGTCGACGTAAATTAAAAGTAACGCGGTGTCTCCTTCATACATAGTTAAATGCTCTTTAAGGCTCCATATTTTCTTTGGCCCATTTGGGACCGTTAAAATGGAATGCATAAAAGGCTTACCGCAAATTGGACTTTTTATGTAATTACATAGTGAATAAGCAAAAAGTTTTTTTATGAGAACAATGGAGATGGCCACTTGAACGTAATATTTAGTTAGTTCGTATGCACCGAGCTCAAGAAAACAAAGGGAAAATGTAAGTGAGGGTTACTTGGTATTCTGAAAAATGTTTTCACTTTATATAGTGCTACGGATTTTTTTAATAAGGACTGTGGATACCCTGTCTGGATAGACATATAATATCCTATGCTGCATAAGACATGCTGTTCGATAAAAAAAGTGTGACGTTTTTTATTTTTCAGACTTCACTATAAGCAGTTTTAAAAAACATCGAATGGCTTCTAGATTTAAAATCATCAAAGTAATACTTAAATATTATTATATCATGCAACAAATGTATATGCAAGTCGTATTATGGAACAAATTAAAAAGCTATTTTCGAAATGTCTTAACATCACAAAATCGATCTTATGACAAAGACTAAAGGTTTAAAATTGTAATCCTTGTAACGAGTACACAAACCTTACAAAGCCGTTCCTCTTTATTTAATTCGAGTAAACAAAAGAGTATGTTACGTGTACCTTGAGATTTTGTTTCATTCCGAATACGTACAAATTGTTATATTTTTTTATTTATTCGTTATCTCTGGTACGTCGAAACTCGGGCATGTTACAATTTAGCCCGGAGCTTCTTGCGTATGTTATCGACATATTTTGCTACATGTATTCGTTTGATGTTATAATTTTATTAGGAAATTCGGTTTAATTAGCTGTGTAGGGTTGATTTTGTTACGAACATTACATGTTATGGGAAATGATAATACATTGTTTAACATACTTTTGTTGTACGTTAAACGTGTTTACGAAAATACGTTCAATATAATTAGGTCGTATATTTGTTTTTCCTGTTTAAAAATTATAGGTAAATATTGAATAACTCGCCGTATATATAAATATTAACTTAAACACGCACAAAATTATAACTCGAATAAACTTATTTAACTTAATCAATTATTCGTACGAACAATAAATATGAATTTAAATCAAACCCATTCTCAAGCTGTTGACACAAAAAGTTTTATGCACTTTAGCCAGTTATGAAAATTGAAGTTTCCCAAAATAATTGTGCCCTTTGCTCTGTTTTATTTATCCAAGCTGAAATATTCAAGCGCTAATTCAATAACGTTGCTTGTGGCTCCGATTGCGCGCAAGAAATTCAAATCTCAATCAATCCGTAGCGTACGCGCCGCTTCATTATGTTTCATTAAAAATTCAAGCCGAATGCGCAATTACTTTATGGAATATTTAAACGTCAATGTCTGCCCAAAAACAAGATGGGAGTTGTGGTAAAATTAAAATTTCGTAATCCACGTTTCGCTGTGTAGCAAAGAGGTGGCTTCCGCTATGTTAATATTAAGCGGTGGGGCAGGGCGGTGCGCCGGCCGACCGATTACAGTATAATTTGATATCTTAAATCTTCTCGACGGCTCCCCTGAAATGAGCGAGCTCTGTCAAGCTTGAATGCGTCCTCGTTCGCAATTTACGCGCCTTTTCAACTAACCTTCGCTCCCGGCACTCGGATACTACTTGCGAATTGCTAAATACTTGTACTGTACCATCGTTAGCAATGGTGCACTTAGACTACAAGAACACATTTAGGTTATTCCTTAAAATGTTACGTCAGCACAATCAACTGCGGCGCGTTGGTATTCACCGAAGTATGTAAATAAGCCCTGACTATGTTTCTGCGAAAACTAAGACGCCGCAAAGATGATATCTGTAGACAAATCAAATCCTTAATTAAGGGAATCTAACGACGACATAGACACGACACCTACCGCAAACAGGGGACGCATAATAATTGTAGCGGTCTGCTACACCTTAATAAAGCCAATAGGTGCCCCTAGGTTGCGGGGCAAGGGCTCGACGCCGGGGGGAGGTGTAGGATTACGGCGACTCCGCGCGCTCTTCATTGAGATTTGTTTCGGGATTAGGAACGCGTTTGATGGTAACCTCCCGTCAGCCGTGGACGACGCGCCACCAGACGAACCAAATCGCTATTATAAGCGTCCCTCTTCGCCGCGTTTAATATTAACACGATATAAACATAGCAGAATATTCATCAGGCAAACTTCGAAGAAACTCATGAAAGTAACACGCATGAAACAACATGAATCAAAATTTGGTAACAACTTCTATGCGATTAATGTTATAAGAAAATTGTGGCTTTACCAAACGAAGACGTCGGATGTGTAAATATACTCGTAAATAAATGCGGAATATTAAATTTCCGATGTTGGGAAACTCACGTGTGCTCACGGCGATAAGGATACCTGACAAGCCCTTCAATTTTAATCTGCTCAAGCGATGACTTATACGAATAATTCAGGATATGCGATTGAGCATCTTAATAGGAAAAAGTTATGTATATAACTCCGCCGCGACGGAGGAACTTGAAAAATGATTATGTAAGCATTTTGTAAAAGGCACGAATATTATAGGCATAAATATGAAGAATACGCTTTATGTAAATTTCGTAACAGGTAAGTACAATATATAGGTACTAGTACGCAAGTTTAGGCGAGTGCGTGACACATAGAGGGTATTGAGAGCGAAAATGAGAGCGATATACCAGTGTGCTCTATTTGCTCCCGAGACAGGATAATTGAAATAAGGATTTATACGTTTCGGATATGCAACCTACTTCAGTTCGTGTCTAGTAGGTATTCGATGCGATTGTGATCGATTATGAGATTACATACATTCGCCATACTATAACTAGATTAAAACGGAAGAGGCGAATATGTTAAGTTCCAATCTAAATTAAATACCTAAAGTTAACTTCAGCCAATTCCACAATATCGACTAATCATTGAAGGAGTACGTGTCTGTTGGTGCTATTTACAATACACCTTAAGCACAATGTACAGTCCAATATATAAGAGTTAAACGTCCAGTCAGGTGCCGTTATGAATATTCAGAAGTTGAATAGGTGCCGGGAAATTGTTCGGAGACAAAAGCTTTTACAATTGGACAATGATGAATGTAGTAAAAAAGCAAACAGCCGCTCGGAAAGGTGGACGTTCGGAAATTGGAATAGCTGCATTAGGACGATGTCATGATATTGATAAGTTATGAGCCTGAACTGCTTATACTCTTGTTATGGTACGTGTATCGAGATAGTGAGAGCAATATAGATTAAACTTAGGTAATGGTAGGGTATTGCGATTTTCGTTTGATAGCTATGTTAATATTCATTTGTAAAGAACGATTTTATTTCAAAATTCACTTGATAGATTTCAATTGAATATTAGAACATATTTGGAAAGTTTAAGTCTCTGTGATAAATATACATTGTATAATCTATACCCATAAGTGTCACAATCTAAAATAAATGTATTGTTTTACTAATCAAGTAGAAGATTCTAGTTAAGAATAATATCCTTTTTTATAGGCGCTAACTTTAAATACAGTTGAAGCTTAAGACACTTAGCTTACTATAAACATTTCTTTAAAGTGGTCTGTAGTAGTTACATGTTAGCCAGTTTTCAAAATACTAGGGCGTAATACACCTCTGTCTACTCAGACCCACGCTATAAAAACAATCGTGTTTTAATAATCCTCTTTTAAAACCCTAATTTTGAAGTCATGACCAAGGTCAAAAGCATCTCAATCCCGAAGAAAATTAACAAAGTAATACCTGGTGTTTATTTTATGAAAAAATGGTTTCAATATTACAAATTAAATGTTAATCATTGACGCTAAAACGGCGTCCGAATCGACTTAATTAATGGAGGGACCGATAAAAATTAATTACTCAAATTCTTTTTTACGATTTCATTGCTCTATGAGAATTCATCTATCATTAATTTCAGTAATCGGATCTCTAGAGGTATTTCATAATTGAAGATCGTAAATTATAGTCTTCATCAAAGAGATTATTTAAGCTTATGTGTATACAATTTTATTGCTTTAATTATAAATTTCTTTGAGCTAATTCCTATATTGATATAATTTCGTAACTTATCTTCCTTGTAGACTCTTACAAGATCTAAGTATAAATAGTATAAATTTGAACAGAGTAATAATTGTTTGCGGAATGTGCTGATATTGTAAGGGTCTCTTGTTGGGTTGTGTTGACAGGGCAATGTGTAAAGGCATCGTACCACTTCCTTTGCGAAGCTCGGTCTGCAATAGTTACTTCTACGGTACTCTAGAGAATTGCATCTGTAGCTCGATCAGTATACATAGGGTTCCACGGCGATATTAGTTACAGAGGACGAAACTTGAAGCCCAAGACCAACTCCTACCTATATTGGTAAAGCTAATTTATATTATCCACCTGGCCTTGTATATTATACAATGTCAGTCTTAGCAACTCAAAATTATTTTTTTATTACATCATTCAATTTAAGATAATTAAGAAAAAATGTCGTCAAAAAATAAGCTTGAAATATTGTTTTAGCTTTCAATTTTCGCGCTCGGCTGAATAATTCTGCGGGTGTTGCCCAGCGGGGTTTTTAAATAAAGTTGATTTGAGGTTTCTCGACTAGGTACTGTGTAATTAGCCAAGAGTGAACTGTAATGTCGGCACTCTGTACCGGCGCGCCGCACGCTGCCCGCGGCTCAGGGGAGCTTATCAAATATGTACCTACCTACCTGCCTCCTGTGTGCCGGATTTATTTAGGATATGCATGAGGGTACGATTTAAATTTTAAACGGATTGCGCCCTTGGATTTCGGCCCTGTGTTATGTTTGGTAAATCTATCACTATAACACGTCCATCCGAAATTAATTTTAAAGCTCGCCTCGTTTCGATTCAATAATAGTTGTTTTAGCCGCTGTAATCCTGGGTAGCCATAGACACAAAGCGATTGTGACAAAAGGCTTATTAAACAATATATTTGAAGCAAATTGCAGAGCGGTTGCATAATTAATTAGGTGGATTTTGTTGGAAATTGTGTTAAAATAAACGGAAGCCTCCTGAGGTGCGGTGTGTGAGGGAGGTATCATGTGAGGGTGCGTGAGGCGTGCGGTAATGTTTCTTATTCCTCCCTTTTCCTTTTTCATCAGAGGCTCTCACACGCGCTCGTCAACGTTCTGAGGCTCATCCATCAAAATTGCGTTCGACGCTGAAGATGTAACTGTCTTCCGCAAACATTACGAATATGCATATACGTAATTATAATCCGTAAATTCAACCCTACGTGTGTTTGTTATTTATATCAACGAGAGCAAGTAGACACGTGTATCAAGTAACTATGGTAAAAGTTAATGTACTTACTATTTTTAGTGAATGTGACGATCTTCAGCACCTTGCCGTACCGTTGGAAAATAGAGTAGAGTACGTCGAGCACGATCGGATATAGCATGTGTTCGATAATCACGCGCAGAACTGTGTTGGGACCACCCTGGGAACAAAGAATTAATTAGTTAAATATCTTAGAAAACACGGTAACCAAGGAATAAACACAAAACACGATAAACAAGTTCTTAGTTTATTATTTACGTAAAATATTTGGTTAAATTAATTAAATAAACAAACAATAGGCGGTATCAATTCCAAGGTAATTAAGAACAAAGTAGGTAAGTATAATAACAACGTACTTCCCGGAAAAGTGGTTAAATAACATTAATTAGTGCTTATGAGAAAAGCTTATCAATAATTAAATTCCCCACAGACACTTCGTGAGTGAAGCTAAGACATATGAAGCAGGTAAAGTCAGGGGCGCATTGAAGAGCGACGCGATACTGTCCAATATGTCTTTGTTATGAACCCATTGGGTATTTGTGAGATGTCAGTGTGATATTGCATTAGACATGAATATGCGCTCTAAACACGAGGGAACTAGTTGTTTTGTTCAGTGAAGATAAATGTACAGACGACATTCTTTCAAGGGGTGCGAGCTCTCGAGTCCCGAATAAAGATGTCGGCCTAGTTTGGGTGTCAATAAATAATAGGGTTGTTTCTTTGATCAAAAATGTCTATTGTCTCATGTCTTGTATAATGTGTTCCACAAAAAGAATGATAAAACGATATTAAAAAATATGTCCCTATGATTCTTTTTACATGAGTATATTTTTTTGACACATAACTTGAAGTTAAACCTACTTTACATCAACTAACCCACTCAACTAAATAAATTTTTCTAGACAACAGGTAGACTTGCATGACTATATTTACTTCATATAGGGAAACTTAGTTTAAGCAATGTGTAAGAGACAATAGCCACTCAAGTTGCAACGTGCGGTCGGTAAAGTATATTGACCGATGCAACTGCATGATCCGTGCCCGTACCCTCAGGCGACAATCTGTCGGACGTCTTAAAGCAGTCTATCTGCATGCTCCTCGACTACACGCCACGTCTTAGTCCAACCTCTAGAGAATACCCAAACCTAATTTGTGGACCAAGTTCAGTGTTTAATATTTAAAGGTCTTTGTAATCGGCTCTATTTCAACGGCTCATAATTATATTGGAATTTCTATATATTATTATACAGAATATTACTTAGACAGTGTTATGTATTGGGAAAGGTAAGATGATTAATGGATAAAGGTGAAATTAATTATGTATAGTTTTAAACACTATTGTTAGAGATAATTATTTTGGGTACGCTAGGGTATTAGATGTGAATAATTTGTATTTAGTGTTTAGTTACGTAAACATTTAGGTAATACCTATTGTTATAAGTTTGACATGAAACAATTCTAGAAATGTTCTTGTCATAGCTTATAGTGTTCATGAAGTTTTGTATTTTCATGATATATGATCAAACAACCAACCAAAATAAAAAAATTAAATGAGTTCAAGGATTATAATGATCATAAGCAACAATGAAGACTGATAAGGACACTAAATAATATCTTATTAACTTATACTTAAAGTTGTTTTTACCTGTATTTCTGTGCCTCCATTCGCGGGCTGTAGAGCCGCACCTGCGCCGGCTACGAGCGCTGCGCCAGCGCTGTTGGAGATGGCCTGAGCTGCTTGTAACGCCGCCTGCGCCGATGCTGACTGCAAAAATATTACCTATAAATAATAGGTAAGTGTACACCGACGGTATGTGCAATAAATTCTAACTAAGTTCATCATACACCATAAAATGTTATTTTAACTAGAATTTTAAGTTTTTAAGGAAAATCTAAACATAGAATTTCTGCTACCTAAACAGCAAAGCGAATCACATCTAAAGGACACACAAAATGTGTTAATTCCCACAACTCGGAAGGTTCGCGTCCTTCAGTAAGTAAAAACATTCATTGTCACGTAGAAAAAAGTATGTACAAACAACAGCCCTTCGCTCTCATAATTTCGCGAACAATGAAACGTAATAGGGGAGTGGACAGTTATCTGACGCACGCGTGAGGCACCTTCGAGTGTCCAAGACCAACAGATAACATTGACCACATCAAACAAAGGGGGGTCATAAACTTATTTTGTATCGTCCACGAACAATTCGGTACTTTGTTGCGTCGTTATATAGGGGCGGACGGCATTGTGGAAAGCGACAATTTGAACGCTTAGCGAGTTAGATAACATTCATACATTGCCCATATAAATGACGGGTTTTTGATAGGTTTTTTGACGAATTTATGATGTGCATAATCCGAATACGTGTTGTGACTTTACTACATATGTAATTCTAATAAAATAAAATGTATTGTTGAAATAGTACCAAAACAAAACAAATACAAAGATGAATGCTCAACATTTCAGTTGCAGCCTACAGGTAAAAAATAAACCAATATCCACGTGAAAAGCCTTCAACACGATCTACGTCAGGTTCAAATAAAAAACGTAATGACACGCGAGTGAAATACAGCGTGTTGTTTACACGTTACGATCGCATGCAAGGGCGCGGCACACTTTGATCCTATATTTTCACATGGCTTTGTGCGACGACGGGCTGACAAGCGGCCAGGCCAGACACAAAAATAAGGCTTTAACCGTGTCATGGTAAGCCTGCCGCCGACGGCAAAGGCTCTGGTACAAATTCACGTTGACTTGTTCCCCCTCACTCCACTTTTTCTCTGTTACATGTTCTTTGATATGTCTATGTTAGAACAAAATGTGGGTTTTAATAACAGCCGGCCAAATATGCTACTAATATTAAATAAACAGATTTTCGTATATTCCCCGTATCCATTTATAGCGAGAACTATTTTTCCTCGAATTTAAATCTCAAAAGCAAAAAGTCCGCATAAAACGAACACGCAACAAAAGAATTTTAGGAATGCGATTCTATCAAAAATATTTTCCGTGTCACCGGCGCTCGCTATGTTGAAGTTCGAAGATATTTAAAAGGTCTTATTCGGGAGACGCGCAATCTTTCACAGGCGACCACTGGCAGACATCGGTCGTCGAGGAGACGCGACAAAATAACTCCATCCGCACTACGAGAGTTCTATTCAACGACCACAAAAACCTTTTGCGTCGCATGATTGATCAAAGCTTTGCGTTCAATGCACGTTCTTTAAAATGCAGTTGGGCGACGTCATTCTCCAAGTCTGCAACGTTCAGGAGACAATTCTGCTAATGCGATTAAATTCGGATATTATGCTCAGTGATGTAATAACGTACCGAGCGTGTCATTTCATGTGAATCACAAGAACAAAGCCTAGTCTGTCTATTCGTAACAGCCTCGTTATAAGTTTTAATAGTGTGCTACAAAGAGATTCCGAAATGTGACGAGACTGCGATAAATCTTTATAGTCACATTATCTGTGTGTAGTTATACGTAGTGTCATGACTCGAACTTGTATTTTGTTGTAAATGTGTTGTAGATTATTCATATAACGGGATGGTGCACTTATGTTAAAGTTTTATGTATCATGATTTTGATTCTATATCGTGAATTATTTAAGTTTATGTAAAGTTGTTATTACTACTCTGTCGCGTTATTTTAAACTATGTAAAACACAGTAGAATCTTTACAAAAATACATTATTTTAAAGAGCTATCTATTGCAGTGGTACAAAGAAACCTCAGTACTAAAGGTTTAAAAGGTACATGAAAAATGTGCAGGGAATAAAGTCGACGGTAATGGTAACGAGTTCTCGACTCGACGAAGTCACATCATTATGAGGTATCGAACAGATGACGCTACGTCAAATAATATTCGTGCTTCCTAGGCACCGAAATAAGGACTCCTTTTTCAAGAGAAAATTTAAGTGTATTCTTTTGGCAGATGGATAGTTTTTGTTCCTTTGTTTTTTGTGGTCGGAAAATAGTGATGATTTCTTTTTGAAATTATTATGTACATAACATTTTACATGATAATTTTAATTAGAAAATGACGTGATGTGATATGAAATTTAGTAATAGAGTAATAAAAAATACCCGAAATATATTTAATGTACTAAGCCACAGAACAGAGAAACCTAAGCACTTTGTAAATAAACAGCTGCTGTCAAATTTCTACCCTAAAATTTCGTTTGATTACCCATTCCCGAGAACTATCAAAGACCGAATAACCACACCTACTTTAACCGAATTTTGTGCCCAGAGTATACCATAATTCGGTTAAGATGTTATATAGATCAATATTTACACGCCACTACAGAGGAAGAGGGATTAACGCAAACAGATAATAGACACCTAGTTGTATCCGTTTTGAGTTTAATCATCACATTAATTAGCCATGTATTGACACAAACGCCTGTTTGCGATGCCGACAATTAGATCAAACAACCTGCAACTATTTAATAAACAATGTATCGCGAACATTATTTAATGTTACAATAATCATGTTGTGTACATATTTGTGAAGAGCAAACTTGTGAATAAATGACTAGTTCAGACTTATTAATACACCTTTAATCTGTTAATATTAATTGTAAACATGATAAAAAGTGTGCTGATATTTTTCTTGAATAACTAGTTATAGTTATGAAATTATTGTGTAGCCGCAAAGAGGGTAAATTATGTTATTAGTGTCAAATTATTATTGTGTTGTAGAAAATCCGGTGGGTACATATTCCCGGTGGTCCGGCGCCAACCCTTGCGCATGTTATCGAGTGCCATCCCCTCAATTATGGCAACACAAATTTAGGCAAGAACAATTTCTCAATATTATCAGCCATCAAAATGGTTGAGGGTTTGTTTTTGATAGGTTTCGTGGATAAACGAAACTAATTAAGCGTTTTAATTAATCCTCCCATTGGGTGTTTTGTTACCGAAAATATTGATTTCCTTTCTTATTGCCAGGAGGCTCCGGTAAGAAAGGTTCACTCACAAATGTTCGGCATTTATCTCCTTTTTTACCTAACGTTATCCCGAAAACCTTATTATGGAGGGTGGCCCGATGCGGCGAGCATTGCTACTTGATTCTTATAGTGACAAATTGCGCCACAATGGCAATATACGAACATTGATTAAAGCTTAATTTTTCAGAAGAAATATATAATACGAAAGCCCGGAACTTGTATAGCGTTTAGTAACAAACTAGAGGATAGAACTAGCTAACTAACGTTTTGGTGCGGTTAACTGAGCAGATTCAGCGACATAACCTGTCTGTAGACACAAATAAGTTCCTAAAGGGTTAGTTACCAGTTTAACCAGAGTAAGTTTAGTTTCAAGTTGGCGATCTATTCAGTGTCTATTTGATTACAAGAGGTTATTGAGGGGCATAAACGATATTATAGTTGAGAATGGTCGTGTTCGTAATTATATCGTTGGTGTAATAAAACAATATTATAAAACGAACTAAAGCAATCAACACGACACGGTGACATTAAAGAGTAGAGCATATTTTTTAGTACTCGAAGATGTTAAGGGGAAACGTTAATTACAGAGAGCTGATGGAGTGACATTCTATTAAAGACGGAGAACAAATTTTATCTCCGACATGAATTTTATCTTTAAGATAAGATGGTTTTAGTATAAGAAAATGCAATTCTCTTTATTAAATTATTTTGACGTTTTATTTGACAAGTTTACAAATGCAAATTGTTGTTTACATACTCTGAAAGTGAAACGTAATATCCAAGTTGATTAAAGCAATATTGTTTTTCGTGTTTAGAGCTTTATGATGACTATGTAATTATTTATTATTGCGATGTTATCTTATCAAACAGAGAATGTCGTTATAATGTAACATCACAAATCATCAGGAGACCCCATAGTCCCATATGAACAATATAATCGCGCCAGTTCGCACTGATTCGTCCATTTACGAGCGTTTACCCCATAAACGGGGCAACTTTTCGTGAAATTATTCAGCAGTCACGACACGCACGGTCGGTATCACGACAAATGTATAGACAGAAATGTAATAGTTTAGTAACTCAATCAAATCGGAACAACGTCGGCGGCTATGTCCCGTCACGGCATGCGGGTTTATTGAATACCGTTATCTAAATTGTGGGGTCTTGATGTTCCCAACAAAGATTAAATTAACAGGTCGAGTGCAGGCCACAGCCGGAGGGTGTTTCCCAATTGTAACATCGGCCTTAATGCCCGATCGCATACCGCACGATAATCCCGCTGTTGTGTAATAGGGCTAATTGAACTGTCGTTACGTTATTACGTATTGAGTGCCCGCGTTTTGTGCCTATCGAACCCGTGAGCGTAATCCTAATTAGTTGATGTTATGCCCTATACATTAATAGGTTTGCCGAGTCTGTGTAGCTGCAACTGTTATCCCTTCTAATTAAACTGGGCATCGTGTTCATCTAATTATCACTATGAGGGTTGAATTTACGGTTGGAGCTAAGTGTATGGAAGATAATGAATTTCCTAACATTAGTATGATAAGTACCGTTTTGCTTGTAGAAATATCTGTTATTTTAGTCGACTTTTCAAACACTCATGACTTACTTTAATAATAAATGTACAAGTGTACTTACGGCATTGCTGTGTGTTTGGTCGGTCTTAAGTTCCTTGTGGTTGGAGAACTGCACGTAGACGGCTCGGCCGCGAAGCTGTGCCACGCAGCCGCCGAAGTATGCCACCATCGCCACTGCCGATATCTCCTCCGCCATTTCGAGGAATGCCTAGAGTAAAGGTTAAACGTTAGTAGTTTTTGTTAAACAGCTAAGGTGTTAAAGCTATAACACCATTAGAAAAGTTTAATCCTAAGCTACGAGCTAAATCTAAACAGCACCAATTCTAATCATTCAATAAGTTAAAAGTGTTTCAGATAGTGGAGTATCGGACTCGACAGAATAGTCCCCAACTCTTTTGTTTGGTCGTTAGACCATACGAACTGGCTCGGTTCGTAGAAATAAATCAAATGTTTAACAGCGGTAGTGTAATGCGGCGCACCCTAACTAGGTTTGTGTTTGCCGGGCCTAGGGAGTCCAATTAATCGGATCCGATCCCCGACCATACATAAACCTACTCAAAACACAGTGACTGATCCCCATGTAGTCTGCATCATTCTATAAAAGCGTTATGATTTCAATAGCCATTTTGTTCGTAAATTCATCTATTCGACGTCGTTTTCAAACCGCAGTATCCTGTTTTGGCCATCGGACAATACGAAACTCACCGCTCTTTGTGTGTGTGTTATGCCGCAAATTAAATAGAATACTTGCCCGGGGCTAATTAAAAATATTCCTATACATGGCGATGAAAAGCGGCCGAGGTCAGCGGAAAATTCAGACGTGGCTTTGTACAATACAAACTAAACTGTTTACGTACTGTATTTTAGGTGTATTTGCTTTAGTATCATTGGATAAACCATCGATTAAATATGTGTACAATGTATTTCATAAACAATCATAATAACACATGTTTTTGTTACACAATTAGTAAGTTCTCAAAACGATAAACAATTACATTGTTAAGTACTTATGAGATCCCAATATACTTGGTAAGTCGCGCTTAACTATAGTTCTGTCACTACACATTTTTTACAAAATAAAAGAGATAGAACGATATTTAAATAACACTTAAAATTGAGTAGCCTTTCATTATTTGGGCGTAAGTTATTAATTAATTATGATAAAGTAGGTATGCGTAAAATACCTCTGATGAATTTCCAAAAAATAATAGACATCTCATGCTATCGAAATGTTTGGGATCAAAATCGATGCAGCACAAATTAATAGAAGCGTAGCTGTCACGCGAGCGACGATCGTAAAATAGTGTCAACGCCTCTTTCGCTTTAATCACCGAGAGTGGGGGCGATTGTCCGCACCCACTCACATCGATGTTTGCCCACCTCTCCACAGATGGCGCCTTTGTAACCGGACTCTCACAGGTTCGGTAACCATCGACTACCAACGATACTTTTCATCATCCACTCTGAGTGCGTCAAAGGACTAGCGTCGACCACGTTCGGTACTTTACATTGATTAGTTTCATATGATCTAACAGTGTGTTAACGTTACCAAAAGATTTTGTACAACACTTTTATATTTTTTGCGATATTCAAACTACTAATACATGTACTGTTAAAAAATTTTCAAGCCTGGCTTATTTTCAATACATAGTATAAAACAAAGTCGCTTTCGCTGTATGTCCGTATGTATGCTTAGATCTTTAAAACTACGCAACGGATTTTTATGCGGTTTTTTTTAATAGATAGAGTGATTCTTAAGGAAGGTTTGTATGTATATACATATTGCACCCGTGCGAAGCCGGGGCGGGTCGCTAGTATAAAATAAAACTTAAGTTAAAAATAAATTCAGTACTAGCCTAGTTTGAGGACACAAAACATTTCTTCTAAAGAGGTTGTGACCGTTCATAAAAAGGGATTCGACTTGTTTCTCGTGGTAGAAGAGAGATTGTTTTCCTTCACGGCGCGCTTTATACAGGGTGGATGTCATACGAGCTATTTATTAGACGGGATAACATTGTCGCGGCTGCCTCCTGCGTTCCCGTAATAGGATTTTCTTTTATTATTTTATTTCTCGGTTGTAAACTAACTCATTTTTAATTTGTCAGCGGGAAATCGTAAATTTCTCATTGCACGTGCCCGGTGGGTGTTTCGACGTAAAATACGCAGTAAAACCGGCTGGATGTCGCCTTATAACCTGCTTGTACTTCGCGCTCGCGTGATGATGTGAACATACTTTTTGATGGATTACTAACTGTACCTCGGCAACTTGTTTCTGGACTTTATGTACCCGCGTATATTCCACACTTAAGGTAATAGTCCCTTTTGTTTTATAACAGTTTAAATATAGCCCGCCAACCAACGGATACAGAAATGTAATAAAGTATGATCATAAAATATCATTCGGAGAGGTCAATCACGGCAAACGTATCTCAATCTACACTCATTCATGAGCCCTTCTCGACCCAAATTGAAATTTATATTAGATGTCATCGCCTTTAATTTCCGCAATGTACAATTTTAGATGCAATCTCTCCCTTGGGTTTCAATTCACCAAGTGTACTTTTAAAAATAAGCTGGTAAAAATGAGGAAGAGGCCTAAAATGTAAGAGTGAATATTTGTTCCAAATTCGCCGTTCATTTTGACCCCGCAATAGATAAACGTCGCTCGTTTGACGGGGGTTAGTAGGGATGTCGATCATACTAAAATTGCTTTCCATCGTCGGGGTAACATTTTGTTTTAAAATATACAAAGCGTCATTTATCGTGCGTCTTCAATATTTGGGTTCGTTTTTGTTGTTTGGTAAAGGAAATATTAAGATATAATGTGGGATATTTTGTTCTACGACTTGTAGAAGTGTTGAACAGTTATTCGCAAGTAGGGCGATGATTACATCTTCTTTGTCAATGTTCGACATGGAATAATGGATCATCTCAGCAATAGTCATTAGCGTGGCATCGGGCAAATTCTCATCAGTCATCCTTTGTCTCCTAATACTGCAGTTACAATAAAACACGGGTAGGGGTAGGCTGCGACAATGCTTAGCGGCCTATTTGCGGACAAGCCGTGCCTGCCACTTGTTGTGCTTCCGGCGGAGGCGAGCGCCATTGTGCCTAGAGTAGCTATATGGCCGACTTCATTTGTTAAATGAGGCCTGATCGGTTACGTGGCCTGAGTTTGGGTAATCTGCCTTAGTGGCTGACGGGAACTGTCCCAAACTTAAACTTAATTACGGACACATTTAGTTTTCAGACCAGCATTATGAAGATGAGATGAATAGAAATTTTGTCTGGAGTGACTCCATTATGTGTAGACAGTTAAGGGAATTCAAACTAAAATGTCATAGTCATACCACATCACATGAATATTACAAGTAAGTCAGGGTCCTATAGAAGATAGTAGTTATAAAATTCTCACTTTCATGTAAGCACGTAATACCTAATTGTGTCAAACAAGTGGTCCCTTGTTACTCGAAATCTCTTACATTCAAATTCAGTAAGTACTCTAATTAAAAGGATTACCTTTACAAACCAATTTACCGAGAACAAATGTAGTATCTTACCTGGTTTTTGCCTTTAAGCACGAGTACATTAGTGACCCTGCCGAAGGGTAGGCCCAGTTGTATGATCTCGGCTTCTGTCGTCTCGTTGGGTATGTTCCGTATGTGGATGACCCGCGACGGTTTGCCAACATTCTGTTCAAGTTTCACCTGCGGAATAACAACAAAATTTTAATTAAAAGAGAACAAACATCCAGTATATTCTTTTTGGTAAAGAATTGATATCAAAATATGAAAAGAATAATTGAGAGCAAAAAATGTTATTCGTAGTGTTCTTTAGACGCGATGATCCGTAATCAAATAGCGTTCGATTCCGGCGGAACAAACGCGAATGTAAAAGGCACACAGCGTACAAAATGACCGTTCTAATATACATAAATAAAGCTAGCATTGTTCGCGAGGAAGAGCCGGTTGGATAATTGAAAAGTCGATGTAGTATAATTGTCGAGGCTTATCGGGCCCAACCCCGATGTGGGCGCCATTGTTCCCGAGAGAGCCTTTTGATTACGGCGGCGGGCTCGAACCGAGTCCCGAATATAATGTAGCTTTGTATGACACTTCACTTTTCATTGAAGTGAAAAGAGCAACCCTCACTGCGCAATTTATGATTGGAAAAATCATAAACAAATGATAAAACAATCCAATTCACGCAAACAACTTAAAACTGTTATAAAACAAGGTTATCAAATGATTCCACGATTATAATTATGTTTTCGAGGAAATCTTCCCAGATATTTCAGTTGGAACAACGAATAAGATTTGGGGAGTTGCGGGGTATCTAACCGTCTCCCTTTTTACGTTCTTTGGCGGGCGGCGAAGCGTGGAGGTGTAACAAATGAGTCTAATGCCTATTAGTTCGACCTTGTTAAGTTTAGACAAAGTGAGCAGCTGCTCTGACAAAAGTGCAGGAAAAACTCGAAACGAACTATGCTTTTGTGGCAGTTACAATATGTACCTCTGACATAAAGCGATTGACTTTTTAATTACTTAGCACTTCACTTTTAAGCTTAAGACTGATTGGAAGTTTCCACGACTAATTTTACAGGTATTGCGGTTTTGAAAATTAATTAAAGCTAAAGAGTCCAGGTATATTTATGTAAACGGAACTGGTGCTACATTTAAAATCAAAGATCAAATCGGATCCGAACTCAAGGCTTAGAAATAACACTAATTAAACAAGCAGTTCCGTTAAATAAATATTGATACGGTCCCTTAGCCAACCAAAAAAATACAATCGAATGATAAAATCTTTACAAGAAAAAAAAACAAAGAACTAACTAAAAGAAAAAGTAGGTACAGATATGATATTTTTGAACAACCGAATTTCGTTAGAATCGACATCAAAAGAAGCAAATCTCCGTAAATAAACAAATAAAAAAATATTTTTCCAAAGTGACTTGTAAAGGGAGGAATAAATCGTCGCACACGCTCGCCCACCTCGAAGGTACATTTCGGTATTTTCTCTTCTCACGAAAGAAAACAACTGGTACGTAAAACGTAAAGAAGGACATTACTTTCGCTGGGTCAGAAAATCTGCGAGGAACGATTTCCACATCAGGCACTTTAAATCATCCGCTTCGTCTCACATTTCATCCATAAATATTAAATCTTGGCTTGGTTCTTTGGATAGAAAAAAAGCTATCGTATGACATTTTTCCTGTGAGGATTTCCCGGAATCGGTCAATTTTCCCGGTGATCGCGCCGGCCGTGTTTATTGAAACACTATTTCTCAGTTGGCCGCGTCTACGATACCATATCATTAACTATAACAACGTCCACACTTATGCTGGCGGCTACTTTGACCTATCAACACTATTTTATTGCATACATAGAATAAATAACATTCCATTCTAAGTTATTACAACTTTCACGTAGTAATTTCTTGTGTACATTAAACTCAGGTGCAATATAAATTAAGATATTAAAACCGGGTATCGAGTAACATAATCTTGCTATCTAAAGTACTGTCGTAAATTGATAAAATAAGAGGAGATTTGCCTTCACTACCGTCCGGACTACAAGTATTTTCAAACTTGTTTACGGTAAAATTATTGAGCTGCAAATTGTGTACCACAGCTTAGCGTTATGTTAAAAAGAATTACAGCATTTGTCCGTGCTGTATTAAAGGTTTAAGAAATAATTTTTCCTCAAACGAAGGCTTTGTTAAGAGGTTAATTTAACCCATATTTTTATACAAATGTTTTCTTCGAAAGTATTTGCATTACATAATTTGTATGCTTTGCTTTATGATAAGAATTATGATTAACTTTGATTACAGAAAAACAACATGCAACTGGAACTAAAACCTTTCACTTGTAATCACAACACAACGTACCTAACTTGTGTTTATAATATAACCACGCAACTTCAAAGACATTTCAAGCATCGGAATTTGTAATCATGTAACGCCCCTGTAACCGAACACTAATATTGGCACGTTGAAGTAAACTTAACACGAGTCAAATGTACCTGAACACACTAAGTATTCTGCTTAGGGTGCGTTGACAAACGCCCCTACGACGCGCGACGTCGGCCGCATCGTCGCTAAGGAAACGACATACTGTAATCCGCTTGTGGCGCACAGGTCAGGCCCGACCCATCAGAACGGATGGTATTACCCGTTTAAGAGCCACGTCTTACTTTTTAACATCTGTCAAGGATTATGCCATTATTGTTAAGGTTTTATTTCGGTTTAAGGCACCATTTCTAAAATGTTTTAGTGCTTAGTCGCGAGCTAAGGATATTATATTTTTAATATTAGCTGGTTACCTGTCTAGGACACTTTATGCCGAAGTGGTGCAGTAAACTGAAAATGTATGTAGCTTTTTAAATTATTATAGCACCTGATTCACGATAAAACGTATTTTTATGTATAAGGTCATATTATTAGAGAATAATATGCCATGGGACTGTGAAAGCTAAACCGAACTTTATGAGAGATAAAAATAAAAACAATTTTAGAAGGAATTTTTTAGTATTTACTTTGACAATTTTTTAGTATTTACTTTATAAGTTGCGTCGGCAGTAGGCAGACAATGACGGAGCGAATATCAAAGGAATGGCACCCCATGAGCCTACAGCGTAATCGATTTCGTGATGCAGGAAAACTTGACACAAATATTTATTTTACCTGTACTAAAATGTATTGGAAACTTCAGCGTTCTCATAAGAGGATATATTGGAACTTTTGTTGTATCATTTCGTAAATTAATACTGTGTTAAGTAGCTTAGTACAGATTTTTGAGAGGATCGTTATAGAATTTGATAATAATCGCGTTACATTTCTCGTCTTGCCAAGCTAAACGCTCACAGCATTTTTAAGATAACGTAGAACGACGGAACATTTTCAATAAGATTTTCTTTATTGCAAAAAGAAAACTCAAATCTGATGTCTTTGTCGCTAATCTTAGTTGTGAATATTTAAATGGAAATAGAAGATAGGGAATTGTGGTTTTTGTGTCAGTTTAAAGAGTAACAAAGAATATTCATTTTAAGATAACATTTTAAAACTATTGCTTAGCTGAGTGAAATCTACACGTGACCAGAGGGCTGGCTTTTTCTTCGGACAGAAAATAAGCATTGCCATTCAACGTGGCAATGCTGCCAGTCTTCTAGGAACTTTCCCCTGTGATAGTGATGCGGACGAATACTTTGACGCCTAAATTAAGGGTATAATTTTTGTTGTTTTCTTTTACTTTCTTTTTATTTAATAGTTTAGTTGTAGTTAATTTTAAGTTGTAAATATTTATGTAGTTATATACATAACAATTAATTCCAAAGTGACGGTTTTTAGCATATTATTATGCATGTTGTCAGCGTCTCTCTTATAATTCTTCTGTTTTAATTTTTCAACTCAATGAAATTGTTTAAAACTCTAAGTTGTTCCTAAATTCGAAAAAAGTTCTACATTTCATCGATGACTCTCAAAGTTCATCATTTGAGCACTCAGACTCAGGTACGTACATCGTTGAGAAATATTCGAAAGTATCGAAAGTCTTGAACTAATAACAATCGCGATTTAGTGGGGTGTTCAGTAGCAACTCGCTGAAAGTTTCAGTACCGCAGGTACGAGGCACAAGTTCTAGTAGCGTAGCGGCGATATTTATTGCTACTAGCTGCGCCGGCGACTATGCTCGCGATAAAAGTTGCATTTCTCTTAACGTTACCTGGTTGGTAGTGTATTGGTTGTGTATAGGTTGTGTATACATATTTTGATTAAAGTTTAATAAATAAGTTAGTTTAGAAGCTTCTAATGCCACTGTGAACTAAACGAAGCCTATATCTAGAAGTGGGTTTTTTTAAGGGGGGAAAATCATTGAATGACTGCTCCGGCCTGGGTGAGGCGGAAGGGAGTGTCAGACTCTTACTGACTAAAAACCACCCCGTTCCTTCTCCTGCACGTCAAGCCGGAGCCCCAGTAAAGTAAGTTAGGTTTCCGCGACATGTCTAGAAGTGGGTTACGTCTTATGGTTGAAATGCTGATGACGAATTTTTGTTGTAAAGTGCAAATAGTTTTAATGGAAAAAAATAAATTGGACGGTAAAAGCTCCCTCCATATGGACGATTATAGTCTATCTAACATCTTGATACTACATTAAGACAGCACTAAGTAGCAAATATTTCATTCATAGAATCTTTTCATAGAATGCAACTTAATACCCTAATATTGAATAACAAACAACTCCGTATCCACTACAGAACAGGATAGCAAAATCACTGAAAGGCAAAACAAGCTCATCGGATTTAGTTCCCAACAAAAAGTTTGAATAAAACAATACGCCATAATTGATTCTCATGGCTTGCACCGCACTTAGAGTTGCATCCGCCGTTAAAATTTCAAGAGCATTATTACACCAGAAATCGTTGGAGTCGATTCGTTGAAACTTTTAATTGGCAGTCCAGTGGAATATTGTATTTCATTGCCGACAATCAATGATACTATTTGATACAGATTGAAAGCTACTTCCGAACCAGTTATTACATAGTTCGACCATCACAAATAGAATTACGGAGTTCATAGTACTGGTTCATCATTAGGTACGGCTTTATTAATTGGCATTGTGTAGAAATTATTTGCTAAATGTGGGTAGTATAATTAGTTTCGAATTATGTTGTGGTCGTTAATCGCGAATTAATCGTAAATACCTGGT